CTCACCCATATCATGCTCAAACCACGGCACAAAGTCAGAAATATTGAGAAACATGACGAAAGATACAGCTTCGTCACGCCCAGAACTAAACACTTTGCCTGTTCCATTCGGGTTGTATGTGTAACAATAACCTCTATAGATGACAAGTGACCTTAGAAAATCCGATGAAAAATTGCATGGCTTGTGAATCCCCATCTTGCAAGATGCATGCAGCTTTTTCAAGAAGAGTGATTCATCGTCAGGGGCTAACTTCAAGAGATTCTCCTCATTTTCTAACTTCCGCAGAATTGCTTCCTTGCGAAAGTATCTGTTTACTCCAATCGCAGCGGAACTTTCATCAAAATCTATTGATATATTCATTTCATCTGCATTTTCTAACAACTTTTGCTTACTTAGAATAGGACCACATATTGTAACAGCAGGCAAAGTTAGCTCTGTAGGTATGATACTTCCTTCCTTGATAAGTATGCCATACTGGAAGTATTCAATTGTCATAAGGCCGCTTAACGAAAACAGAATGCCCAGAGACGCAATCATTAAAGATACCCAAAACAGTCTCGTCGTCTTTGATCTGGTACGAGCAATCCTACCAAGCCAGTGGATAGTTAGATCAGTTGCAGTCTCTTTCAGCTCCATTTTCATCGATATTTCGTCACCAGCTTTTCAAAGAATGTTTGATATTGTTTTTCTGATGAGCAGTAGATTGCTGATTGCCAATCTATTTGAAGCTGTATGTTTGTGTTCCACTTGTTTGTTTCCTGGCTTCTGCCAAAATTCCAAATTGATACCCAACCTTGAAAAGTATGCATATCAAATGCTGCATCTATATCGTCATAGTTAAAATTGTGTGCAGTAAAACGGTATGATAATAATAATGATTTCAGTTTAAATACGAAAGCCAAACTGGTCATGTCAAAATTGGAAACCTTGGCTGGTACTAATGCCGAAATCATAATCATCATCCTAATCAATATGATCATCATTGCTATCATAAGATTATCTTTATCTGTTACCAGAAATCATTAGCAACCATTAATTGTAAACGATGGTCACCTCTTGAAATCAATCATCATTGACATCATCGTCAGTAATCATTTCAAATCATCACCATCATCACCATCATCACCACTATATTCATAGCTCATTACATCATTGTATCATCCATATTATTCTATATTGCAGAAAAGCCGTGCAATACTTTCCTTTTTTATAAGAACCAGCAAGCCTGTTCTTAATTTTTAGAATATAAAGTACTAATCGCTAGCTATTGTTTTCAGGCCCCATTTGCCAAAAAAGTGGGCTATCCCTCAAGTTTGAAAGTTCACAGACAAAGCAGCTCTAGATGGTATAAAACTTCTCGTTTTTGAGATGAGATTTTCAAAGGGTCTCGCGAACTTTTCAAAAATTTCATTTTACAGTACCTAAGCATGATCTTGTAGGCACAGATGCACAGATGATCATACTTTATTGTTTTTCCAACTTGGCACAGATGCACATATTAGATACCTGATGAGATGCTTTCAAAATTTCATTTTACAGTACCTAAGCATGATCTTCTTGGCACAGATACACAGATTTCAAAATTGAAGTTTGCTCCTTAACATGTAAAGAAATTTCAGCATAAAAAGACGTTCAAATATTTCATTACATAAGCAATACCCGAATCAGTCTTTATGACTCTTTCCAATCTTCGATTGCAGTAACTTCATTTCGTCAAGATGTATTACTAGGTAAGGCAATTCAAGCGATAATGTACATGAATGAATGATGTTAGTTATATAATATATGTCTACTTACTAAGGAACGCATCAAAAGGTGCTGATGCTGGTCACAAATTGTACCACACAAGACTGCAAAAACACATGAATACCTGATTTAATATTCTTGTAGCTAGCAAGTTGTCATAGCAGAATCTGGCAGCTGGATTTCATTTTTACTACCAAGCATTTGTCTCATTAATTTTGCTTAATAATTGTTCAATTAAAAGTTTTCTGTAAACATTTCCGACTAATTTTAATATAGCGTTGCGAAGGCTCATCTGGTATTGTTAAGAATCAACAGGGTTTGTAAAATCGAAGTTTGCAGATTTGATTAAATTGGCAAACATGACGAACTTGTCCGTTTTATTTTCAAAACATTGATAAGGTGAGCAGTCCACTTGCGACCTTTGGTATTTGGATCCACAATTTTCAGCTGTCATCTGTCTAGTTTAATCAAGAATAAAACAATTTTTACCGATTTTGCATTTGTTTTTAATCAAGAATTTGTGGTCCTTTTACAAGAATGCAAGATGACAACAGCTTGCATAATAATGTTTTAATTTCCTTGCATGTAGGGTTTGCCTGCTTTGAAATTAAATAAAACCTTTGAATTGGAATTATGTTTAAACAGATGCAAAATGTTTTTTTTAAATTGTTTGCATTGAGTACTTAAATCTTTTTCCTTGTAGTGAGTTTCTTATAAAATTTGAGCGTACTCGTCCAGAAAGCTCAAGGTACCTTACCCTCTCATTTTTTGCTGCCGTTAATCATATCAGCTTTGCTAGCCAGGGTAAAGAGGCAGGGGCGTAACTTGGCCAAAAGGTTTGGGGGGGTAAAAGGGTTTCTGCCCTGCAAAACTGATGGGTGCCCTGCAGACCTCGTAGCAACGGTTTGTTTATAGGTTATTAGTGAATGCTTTACCAGTGTACATTGGTCTGTACCAAGGACAAACTTCTAAGCAATAAAAACAAACTTGAAACTTCATTGCCTATGAAATATCTATTTCTCTACGTGAGCGTAATTTTTTTTAATTCATTTCATTTAATGTTGGTTTGAAAAATACTAGCTAATAAACAGCTAATGGGAGGGAGGGATACATGATGTAGACAGCGCAACGAAATTTAGCCCAGGGGGACTAACAAGCAAGTTTAGTGAGGTAGGAGGACCCACCATGGTTGGGTCCGACGTGGAGAAAATTTTTGAAATTATACCCTGTAAAAGGGCTAAAAAGCATCTTTCAGACAAAAATTTAGCAAAATACTATTGTGCTAAAAGAACTGATTGTTTATTGAAAATATTATTGTTTATTGGGAAAAATAGGGAGGGGGAATATCATGCTAAAACTCTAGTATTAAACGTTGGGGAAGGAAAGAAACGGCAACCTTTCGTTTCAGATTGCACATAGTTGTGAATGACAGAGGAAGATGTTGTTTTGATTTGGGGAATTTTTTTCCTGCACAGAAATGTGTAGTTTCTTGTATCGAGAAGGCCATGTTTACAAGAAAAATGATAAAAATATACGTAAAAAAGTTAGCAATTAGATGAAACAAAATTGGTATCTAAACGATTTATTATGTTTTTTAGTTCATGCACTGTTAAAAAGTAATATATAAAATGATAAAAAATTTATTTCTTGACCAAAGTGGGGGCTTTCAGCCCTCTACTCCCCCCAGTGGCGCCGTACCTGTCATGAAAATATTTTACAACTTAAATTAATTTGCATGGACTCAACCTTACCCTCATAAACATATGCATCAATCATTGCATCCATTGGCTATGACTTTCGGTAAGAAATGTTTTCGCTTTGCAAATAACGGAGCTTTTTCTTACATACCTGTTACGTTCTCTAAATTGCAGAGGTTCATAAAAAATACGATATTTCCATTTCAAAATTCCTAAACGGCCCTTTACGAACTTCAGAGGTGGCATTTCTGCGTGGCAATAAAGCTCTTCTTGGCGCCCTGCGAAATCTTCGATTGCCCTGCGAAATCGACTATTTTTTGGATTTGGGGGGGGGGGTGTCGCCCCTGTAAAGAGGTCTTTGACATTGTAAAGACCGTTTCAAAGAATAAGATAAGGCAGTTCTTATTCCTAGTCGCAGCTTGATGTTATGGACTCACAAGTCTCCGCTTGTAATGATTTACGTCTTGTGTGTAAATGTGTGTGTGTTTACGTTATGTGTGTGTGTGTTAACGTCTTGTAACAACCCTACTGGCTACAAATCTAGCGCTTCGGCACTGATCAGTTGGTTAATGCCGACACCAGGGAGAGGCCCAGTTGTGCAAGTTGACTTGAAATGGCGGCAGACCAATACTATAAGCTTGTTGTTTTTAGCGCTAGATGTCTAGCTTGATGTTTTAAGCTGAAGCAAAACCACTCAAGCTTGCTGTAAACATTTCGAAGGCTAAGCTGTCTTGCTGCGGCGTTCGTAAAGGCACTGGGCACTGACCTAGGCAATGTTTACGTTTTCAAAAAAATTGCTTTCGGTCTTATTCGTCAAGATTCACGGACAAGGAAGTCAAGATATCAAAAATCCTTTTACGGATATGAATTGAGCGTAGTTGATCATAGAAAATTGCTTTCACAGGTAGATTTTGCATTGTCACGATCCCTATTGAACTTAAGATAATGCGGTCTCTGTTCGTAAATAGGCTGAAAGTGATGGAAGTTCTTGGTGAAAATGTTTATAGGGTTAGTTGTGTCTATTAAGTTGTTACATTTGCACCTCCAATTACCTCGCCTGTTTGTGCTCGTGAGGTGTCCACCCTCTTTCCTCATAGTGAGAGCACAAAAAGGGGGCGGTGCCCACACTAAGGGTCTCGGCCTAAAATTATTGACAAACATTTAGATGCATTGAAAGTTACAAAAAGGACACTTGACGCTTGATCGTCATGTTGGGGCGTAGGTTCATGTGCCTCTGGTACCTCTTCGGAAACATGTTTGTACGTAGTAGCAACTCTTCTTATTATTTCTTAGGACCCCTATTTGTTTACAGGCCCCTGGGCCCAATTGGAAATGTGGCCCTGTTTAAATATATTTGTCAATGTAACTCTACTCGGTCTGATTCCTCAAAAAGTAGAAATTTTCCCAAAATATTTCAAATTATGTCTCATGCAAAAAGTAGAGCACTTTGATTGCTTTCAGTGAGTTCGTTCTCTTTCTAATTTCGACAACTTTTTTAGGGTTTAAAAATGTTCTGTCGTGGATTCTTTTAAAATTCAGCTTATCCTTTTCTTTTAGATATCACTTGGGAATCTCACGGAGGTGTCTGCAAACAATGACAAAAAGGTATTTTATTGAGTTCAAAAATGTTTTCAATAAAAAGTCATTTCCCATCATTTCTCAACTTCCAATCTGATTTTGTGTAGCCTTGGGCAGAAAATTTTTAAAAAATGAATAAGATCTTTTTCTCAAAATATCAGCTTGAAATCCATCAAAAACACAGGATATGGATTCGTGAACATAAATTAAGGTATTTTGGTTTGTTTCGCATCTATTTTAATAGAGAAAATACGACAAATGACAAAAGTAAAGGCATGAAAATAAATTTAAGAGCAAAAATATTAAGAACCAAGATAAGAAACTACAGCTAAACGAAGCAACCTTGAAAGTGATGAGCAAATATAAATAAACCTAGGAGATCTAGAAAGTAAAAAAGGACCAGTAGGGGAATGCATTAATAGTAGGAAAAGTTCGGCAAGGGCAATCATTAATGAAAGAAAGTTTCTAATAAGCCAAAAAAGCTGAGTAATGTAATGGATATGAAAAAACAAGATTGAAAAAATAAATAGACCAAGAAGAAAGCACCTTACCCTAAGCAATTGCTGGAAAAACGAAATGAAACTGAAAAATGAAAATCACAAAATCGATATCAATGGAGTCAAGGAGAATATTGAAATTATTAACGATATCAACAACAAGCAACACGTTAAAAATAGCGATAAAACAAAGATGAGGTTCATAAATAATGGTAATGATATATAAGATGATATATAGAACATTACTAAAGTGAAAACTAAATATGACTGGTTTAAAAGAAATGATAAATAAGAAATGAGAAAATGCAGCCATTGTTTTTGGTTCAATTTTATAAATTTTTTAACAGTTCGAAAGTCCTGCTTGTTCCAAAAACCCAAATCAATTTAAAAAATTTTCCCCATTTATTCAAACTGTTGCGTATTCATTCTTTGCCAGTATTCTGAGGAAATGGCAAGTTAACGTGACGGTCGAAGAAAGAGATTTTGAACGATTCACATTTTAAAGATTTTAATTACACCTCACCGCAATTTGTTAGCAAATATTTGAATTTCTTTGGCATTCCCCACTTTTCAAAAGTCAACAGAAAGATTTGTAGGTCTCAAGACAGATGAGAACCGTTGATTACAGATTTAAGAATATGGTGCTCGCGTTTCTGTATTAACAAGGTTTTATACTTTAAGTGGAAGGGGTGGGGGAGGGGGGAGTGGCCAGCGTAATGTAATTCTAAGTATAGGAATCAAGAGGTTTTGTTATATTGAAAGGATGGATAACAAAGCTACTCAGTGTCCAACACCTACTTTGAAAGCTTAGTACCTAGCGGATAAAGATTAGCCCCCTATTCGATATCAAACATTTTGGAAAGCGCATCGTCCTGAGCTACAGAATTGTGTGTTAGGGTGGCCAGTTCCTTTCCACGCCGATTTTACCTCTCTAGTTTCAAATTTCAACTGAGTGAACTGAGACCCGTCCGCGAGCCGGGAGTTTGATTGTGAGTTTTTTGTTATTCTTCATTCTACAATAAACGCTAATCGCAAAAACCTTTTAAGAACTTTTTTGAGAAAACACCTTCTATATTTAGATGAAATTAAAATTACAAATCATGACTTCAAGGAGATTTCTAATTTGTTTATTAGTTTTGTATTTATTATTTTCTTTATTAATTTGCTTTTTACTCAGCCGTTTAATTGATGCTGTTGCTGTCATAATTCCAAATTTAATGATATTAGCAGGTCCAATTTCTTTATGACGTCAATACTGAGAATGTATAGAGCAGTGAACAAAAACATGCTAGTTAAATTAACTTCAATGTTCGTTAAATTTCAGCGTACATTTTTCGTTTCCTGGCTTTGGCTATTACGAATCAGTCAGTTTAACTTTCCGCATCCATCGCAACTAATAACCATGCATTCTTTGATTTAAAAAGCATGGAAATCATGAGCTCTTTAAAGATCGAAAAAGAAAATACAGTGCTAGCATTATGAACTTTCTGAGATAACCCCCATGGTTTGAATATTTAAGACATAATTGTAATTATTCTGACATATTGCAAGGTCTCATTTCTGTAATTATAGGTTAGTAAGAGCTTTTTTTTCTAACTCCTGTAGTTTTATGTTACTGATTCTCCGCATTATTCAACTCAACGTACTAATCCTCAATATTGTAAGGTCTCATTAGACTTATTATCAATATCATAAGTTATTAGAAATACTTATTCTAAGGTTTTATGTCATAAGGTCTTACGGTAATGATTCTCAGTATTATATGCCTCATAGTACTAATTCTCAATTTTGTAAGTCTCATTAGACATATTATCAATATCATAAGTTATTAGAAATACTTATTCTAAGGTTTTATGTCATAAGGTCTTACGGTAATGATTCTCAGTATTATATGCCTCATAGTACTAATTCTCAATATTGTAAGTCTCATTAGACATATTATCAATATCATAAGTTATTAGAAATACTTATTCTCAGGTTTTAAATTTATAAGGTCTTACGGTAATGATTCTCAGTATTATATGCCTCATATTACTAATTCTCAATATTGTAAGGTCTCATCAGATTCATTATCAATATCATAAGTTATTAGAAATACTTATTCTAAGGTTTTATGTCATAAGGTCTTACGGTAATGATTCTCAGTATTATATGTCTCATAGTACTAATTCTCAATATTGTAAGGTCTCATTAGACATATTATCAATATCATAAGTTATCAGAAATATTTATTCTCAGGTCTTTATATCATAAGGTCTTACGGTATGATTCTCAGTTTTATATGGCCTCATAGTATAAATTCTCAAATTTTGGTAAGTCTCATTAGCATATTACGAATATCATAAGTTATCAGAAATAATTTATTTACTCAGGATCTTTATATCATAAGTCTTACGGTAACTTGATTCATCAGTATTATAATGCCTCAAATAGTAGAACTAATTCTCAATTTGTAAGTCTCATTTAGACTTATTAATCAATATCATAATGTTATTAGAATAACTTTCCTAAGGTTTTATGTCATAAGGTCTTACGGCTCATGATCTCCGCCTCCAGTATTATGATGTCCTCAAGTACTAATTCTCAATATTGTAAAGGGTTTCATTAGACAATATTATCATTATTCATAAGTTTAATCAGAAATATTTTATTCTCAGGTCCTTTAGTATCATAAGGTCTTACGGCTAATGGATGTACTCATAGTATATATTATGCCTCACATAGTACGTAATTCTCAATACTTAGTAAGGTCTCATTAGACGAAATATATCAATATCATAAGTTATTAGAAATACTTATTCTCAGGTTTTAATGTTATAAGGTCTTACGGTAATGATTCTCAGTATTATATGTCTCATAGTACTAATTCTCAATATTGTAAGGTCTCATTAGACATATTATCAATATCATAAGTTATTAGAAATACTTATTCTCAGGTTTTAATGTTATAAGGTCTTACGGTAATGATTCTCAGTATTATATGTCTCATAGTACTAATTCTCAATATTGTAAGGTCTCATTAGACATATTATCAATATCATAAGTTATTAGAAATACTTATTCTCAGGTTTTAATGTTATAAGGTCTTACGGTAATGATTCTCAGTATTATATGTCTCATAGTACTAATTCTCAATATTGTAAGGTCTCATTAGACATATTATCAATATCATAAGTTATCAGAAATATTTATTCTCAGGTCTTTATATCATAAGGTCTTACGGTAATGATTCTCAGTATTATATGCCTCATAGTACTAATTCTCAATATTGTAAGGTCTCATTAGACATATTATCAATATCATAAGTTATTAGAAATACTTATTCTCAGGTTTTAAATTTATAAGGTCTTACGGTAATGATTCTCAGTATTATATGCCTCATATTACTAATTCTCAATATTGTAAGGTCTCATCAGATTCATTATCAATTTCATAAGTCATTATAAATACTTATTCTCAGGTTTTAATGTTATAAGGTGTTATGGTAATGATTCTCAGTATTATATGCCTCATATTACTAATTCTCAATATTGTAAGGTCTCATCAGATTCATTATCAATATCATAAGTCATTAGAAATACTTATTCTCAGGTTTTAATATCATAAGGTCTTACAGTAATGATTCTCAGTATTATATGCCTCATATTACTAATTCTCAATATTGTAAGGTCTCATCAGATTCATTATCAATATCATAAGTCATTAGAAATACTTATTCTCAGGTTTTAATGTTATAAGGTCTTACGGTAATGATTCTCAGTATTATATGCCTCATATTACTAATTCTCAATATTGTAAGGCCTCATTAGACTTATTATTGATGTCAAAAGGTTTTAGAACTACTAATTTTCAGGCCTACTGTCACTAGGTATTACCGTTGATTCTCGGTATTTTTCGCATGGTACTACCTCTCAATATCACTAAGTCTCGTTTGATTTTCTACGGATATCATTATTCCTCATAGTACTAATTCTCATGTATAAATGTCGTAAGAATATTATCAGTATTATTGCCTCATAGTACAAGTTTTCAGTGTTGCAAGGTCTGGTTAGAGTATTTACCGATTAAATAAGTTCTCGTTGAACTAATTCTTTAAAGAGTAGAAAACCGATCATATCGTGTTTATTTTTTTGTCGTATTACGCCTCTCGGTACTTACCTCAATATTAAAAAGGTCTTGTTATTATTTCTTAATCACTCTTAGTTCTCGAGGTATAAGATCCTTTAAGCTGGTCTGAAGATAGAAATAGTTTAACTGTCCTTAGCAAAACTTTTGTGAACCTTATCATCTCTAGTCACGATTTTGACAATGTTTGCAAAATTAAAGTCGATCATATGTGTAAACTTTTGCAAGACCTGGTTTACATTGTTTTATCAAAATATGGGCACAATAGCTTATAGTATTAAGATCTTCAAAATAATCTAAAAAGGTGACCGTTAGTTTGAATGCTGTCTTATTCTCATATCTCATACTGGTTCTATTTCTTACTTGACATCCGATAGCTAGTACTTTATGGAATTCTATTGCCTTTCTTATTATCTGTATGAATTTCACTTGAACAGATCTTGAGATTCGCAAATCAGTACATTACCCTCTAAATCCTCTGCACACTTTATGTCGTATGTTTAGTTTAGGGTCGTTTCAGCTGTGCAATTTTCAAGGTTTTCTAAGACGTTTATTTAGAAATTGAAGTACCAGGCCGCTTTTGCAGTCGTACCTTTGAAACCAAAAACAAATTTTATGACAGTTATTTGCCAATCTGAAACTAAAAATATTTGAACTGGCATTCTATAATTTTGGTAATTTGTTTACTTTATTTTACTCATGTTGCTTATATTGCAAACCTACATGCAGAATCAGTAAGAAGCATTTATAGTTATCGTAAATTGTACTTTCAATAAACTTCTTTGAGGCAGATGTTTGATGACGTCATTGCAAAATGGACCCAGTTATTCGATACTGACCAGCTATAAAAATCTGGAAAGCAATGTCACACTTACACAAACTAACTGGATGAGACTGGTTGAAGATCACGTTATTTATTACACCAAGTAAGTGTAATAGGCGTTCTACTTTTTGATAATATCTTAGATATTGTGAATCAATAACAGGCATTGTAGAGAATATTCTCCACCACAATAGATTTGATTCCCTTTATGTATTTTCTAACTGGTCTTAATTTCTAGAGCCTGTAGACTTTTACTTGATTGCTGCTGTAGCACAGATTGATCTGAATCTATTGAGGATTTTAATAGCGATTTTACTTAAGTACAATATAAGTTCATATTGTAATGTGACGTAACGTAAGGGAGTGCGACGCAAAGTGGCGTAACCAAGTGCGCCAATACAAAGTCCGTCCACCCTAAGTTGCGTAACTCAGAGCACGGATTATAAATAGTTTGCAATAATGTGTTTGGCTTCACAACCCTTGTTGTTCAAAGAAGCGATCTAAACTTGGAAGATGCAAAAAAGGAGCTAAACTTGAAGATAACAACACGGCAAAGTACGCGCGCTTAGTTTGTTCCGTAGGCGGCAAATCGCTCAAAAGTATTTCGGAGCAAAGAGAGTTAACCCTGCTTGCTGGAAAGTCTTATTAAGATCAGCCATAACCGAGCAAGGAGGTTTGGTAATCAATATGGATCAGCGTGTTGTACGTCGATGAACCATTAGTAAAAGTAAATATATGGAAAGAACGACATTTGACACTGGAAATTTAAATATTGCAAAGCTGGACTGTACCGAGAAACGTTCTCTTTTCTTCTCTTATTATTCTGTGTATATATATTAGGTGGTATGATAATTAAGTAGTATGGATATTCGGTGTAACTATGTAATTAGAAATTATTGTAACTATTATCATATCATATTATCATATTTTAATTATTGTCCTCTTATTTGGATGTTTTGCAATAGGAAAAGTAATAACCGGATTCATGAAAGAGCAATGAGAATAGCTCATGGTGATAATGAATCAACTTTTGAACAACTTTTTATAAAGAATAAAACAATAACTTCTCATAAGTAAAATTTACGATATCTTGCAATAGAAATTTACAAAACATTTAACGGATTGAATCCACTTTTTATGAATGAAATATTTTCCATAAATGAATGCCCATATTACTTAAGAACTCCCAATTCAAAACAGCGGAGCCACATTACAAAATATATGGATTTAATACCGTTTCCTACAGATGTAGCCAAATATGGAACTCAGTTCCAAATGAGATAAAGTACTCCCCTACTTTATTAATATTCAAGAAAAAAATCTCAGAATTTACATCGTTTAATTGTACTTGTAATCTTTAGCAACATCGCTAATATTTGAAATACGTTAGCAACATCGCTAATATTTGATTTATACTATATATATTAAGCGTTGGTAGTTTAAATTAGTTGGTTTTAATTAGCTGGTTTAAACTAGCTTTAGTATGCATAGCTAGAAATTGTACCAACTTTTAATAAAGAAAGAAAAAAAATCTAAATTTCAGTCACTAATTATTCTTGGTAATAATGACAATGTTATTACAGAATTTTCTATAAACGATGGCTTCAAAATGAATGTTAGTAGCTAAGTTACTCTACTTGGAATTCAAATTGATAAACAACTAAAATTTGTGTGATTGAAGAAAAGGTCACTGTACCAGGCTGCTCGACGGGCTCCGAGGAGTTCTTGCGGCGAAAAGTCGATAAAAATGTAGCAAATAAGAAACACCGCAATACGCCGAGAATAAACAACAATAAATACACGTAAATCAGTGAAGGCTACACTGATTGTATAATTTCATATGCCCCCGCTTATACGAGGGGGGTATATGAAATTATAGTAGACATCAAGAAGAAATCAATAAAAGACCTCGTATATTTTAGTAGAAATTTCTTTATAAACATTAAAACAATTCGAGGGGGCCAATTACCAAAAGTATGAATCGAGGGGGCCAATTCGAGGATTTACGGTAGCAGTGGGGGCTTATTCGAGGGGGGCTTATTCTAGGGGGGCCTATTGAAATTTTTAGTTCTAGGGAGGGGCTAATTCGAGGGGGGGGGGCTTATTCGTGGATTTACGGTAATTTACATGCAATATCTTACATCATTATTATAATGTTACTCACATGCACAAATTATACCCAGTCTCACCCCCATTTAAATGCTATCTAAAATTGTATGCTTTTATCCAAAAACCCGTTTATCGATACATTTATCGGGGGCCCCTTGGTTTTGTGTTTAAAGGTGCACACCGTGGGTGGCAAAGAAAAAGTGGTAACATTTAATCCATTTATTCTTTGTCACTTCAATTACTGCCCCCTCAGCTTGTTATTCTGCAGTAATGCAAGCCAAAAGAAGCTCGAGAAAGTAAACGAGAGGGCCCTACGATTAGCCCTCTCAGACTACACTTCATCGTATTCTAAACTTCTAGTCAAGGCTAAATCTACTACAATTTATATTCACTACATTCGGCTACTAGTACTAGAAGTTTACAAAACTTTGCACAACTTGAATTCAGCCTTTTATGAAAGACTACTTTCTCCCAAAACCCAATAGCTATCATCTTCGAAGAATTGATAGTCTATCTGTTCCAAAGGTTAAAACTACAAGTTATGGTATAAAAGCTCTTAGCTTTTTGAGTCCAAAGATTTGGATTTCTCTTCCAAATTAAATAAAATCCTCCTAAAATGCAAGTCAATTCAAAGCTCTTTTAAAAGAATGGTATTTCGAAAATCAATGCGCCTGTAACGCTGGCATTCAATGACTTCCATAATGCAATCTCTTAAATTGCTTCATGTTAGTGTTTATTAGTGTTCACACAATTGTCAAACTAACAGTAGAAAAAGGTATTATTATTACACTACTGGTTACAGTCAGAGAAAATTTAGACCCAAATATGCAAAACTATTCAATAAAATTTAGACCCAAATAGCCCCGTTTACAGTGTCACACTCAGTTTACAGTCACAAATTGTAGGGGTGTACTGCAGTATTTCTGTTCTGATACACGCCACTTTTATTTGGGACGTTACCTTGGTAACAAACTGGATTCCAGATCTCTTCCGGCAAAGGGCTGTTTTGGATTACACCATTTTTTCTTAGTTTTCTGGCAAGCAGTGTTTGTCTTTTTGTGTGGTTTTTAAGATAAGACAAAAACATCAACAAAGGGTGTAACACTAACTTAAGTCAACAGTAAAAGGAAATCAGAATCTATTTAGAAATCTATTCCATCCAGCCCAAGCTCAGACTGGCAATTCCTATTTCGTGTTACTGGTAGTCTGTATCATTTTCCTTTTGGAACAGATAAATTCCAAGCATAAACTACTTTCTTGTTACAGTTATATTATAAATGGCTTTGAAAAAAGCAAACATTTAGTAAACTAAAGCTTTTCGTCTGACACTCTTCAGAGTCGGTGAACCACCCCCTCATACCCTCCCTCAAGTGACACCCCTGCGGGTATCTTTTGGTTTTTATATTTAATGTAGAATCGAAGCTGTTGCTATTGATCAGGGACCAATAGGAATAAAACCAAGTTTACACAGAATTTTATGTACTACACTAAAACAGCGTCTGGAAGTCTTTTCAACGATAGCAAAACATCTAAAGTAATTTAGCTATGGTTTTTAATGTCTAGTTTTCTGTTTATTGCCTGTAATTTCTGTTGTTAGAAAAATTTATTATCCAAGCTTCAAATTTCTGCTTGCTGTTATTGTTTTCCTATTGCAATCAATATGACCTGCCAGTTTGCTGAAAATTTTGCTTCCTCTCAATGCAAGCAATTTTTTAAACAACTTGCATTTTGTAAAAGTTTCATAAACATTGTTTCTTGTTATTGTTGAAGTTATTGTTGAAACGATCAAGGCCGCCGAGAGGTTTTGGAGACTCTAGGGCAAACCGGAAAATGCCCCCCCCCCCCTTGCGAGCGAAGAGAGCAGACATTTTGTTTGCGACCACGCCCTTTACATTAGCTTAAATTCATTCATTCGATTTAAATGTCTTACTATTTCCAGGCATAAATTTTGTTGCTTTATTAATTTTAAATACAAATAATAACAGAACACAAACTTGAATTAGCAACTGACCTAGTTTGGGCAGTTGTATTGAAACTGGCTACCCACCATTTCTTTAGAATATGTATCCATTGTCGTAAGGTTTTACCTAGAACTCAAGTTTATTTCTGTGTCTACGGTCACATGGCTACTGGATATTTACTGAAATGTTATCTGGTCTTAAAATACCCAGTTCTTTCCGATTATACGATATCATCTCGAAAAACAAAGGTTAGGTAGTTTGTACCAATATAGGAGAGGCCACGATAGCAGGCTGCTCGACGGATTCCGGAGGAAATCTTGCGGCGAAAAAACGATAAAATAATAGTCTATAAAGAACACCGCAACGCGACAAGAATGAACAACAACAAACACACAAACCAGTGATATGAGTTCGTTGATGTTCATTCTCGTCGCATTGCGGTGTTCCTTATACACTACTGTTAGGTAGTTTCCCAGATTTATATGGTAAATTGCCTATCTTGCTAAGTTCCAGTATTTCACTGACCATATCTCAGTAGAACTGGATTTGATATAGATTTATTGACAGATTAAACTAGAGATAATATCTGTGCTTTTTATGACTTTATAGTAAAAAAACATCATAAAAATAAACTTTAATAATTTTGCCAGTTTGACGCTATAAAAACACAACAATAGTTTATCTCTTACAGATCCATCACAACTACAAAGTAAGTGACAGACAATCAAAAGAGGTGATCTGTATAAAAACCAATTCAGTTTAGGTTTAAGGTAGTAGTCAAAACACTTCTTTTGTCGAAAATGTCATCAACGTAGCTACTGAAAAGTATCCAGTACTTGAGGGCCAGAAATGGAGCTAAAAGAATCTGCAGCCGATTTGACCATGCATGGACTTGGTAAAATTGCTTCCTCAACATCAAAGACGATGAAATTTCTGTGGATCAATCTTATGACATTTTCTCTAGGCACCCTTATATTCTTTTTTCAAAAAATGACGGTAGAATATTTAGCGCATGGAACACTGACAAACCATCAAACTATAATCAAATCAAAGATTCCCTTTCCTGCAATTACTGTTTGTGGGCCTACCGTAAGCAAGGCAAAGATGCAAAAGTTTTTCAAAGAGTCTAACAAAACCTTTCCATTTGATATGGACTCTCTTCATCTTGGGCTGGGAAGATACTTCAACTCGGAAAAGATTTTACATCAATTGGAAACTCGAGAGAATTTTCAAAAAGTGATCCCAGATGAAGACTCATTCTTGTTGAAAAAACTTTATGGTTCGTGTCAACAAGGATTAATTAGAAGATGCAACTTTACAACTGATGTAGAAAAAATACTTCAGATATACAAAGGATATTGCTACAAATTCAACCCCAAAGGATCATTTATTCAAGCCAGACATGGACGTGATGAAGCCATATCTATCATACTTTTTCTGAATGTTTCAGATTTTCTACCATGGCCACAGTACGATTCAGGTGAATCTGTAGACGTTTTTGTGAATGACTATAAAGAGTTCCCGTTTGTCTATACTGGTCCTGTACTTGCCCCAGTTGGACACATAACACAAATCGAGATACGAAAGTCTGAGCTAAAAAGAAAAAAGGCGCCATATTCATCTGACTGTACCGATGGAGAGAATATCAAATTATATTTTGATGGTGTTTATTCTGTTATAAATTGCCAGTACAGTTGCTTTCTATCAAAAATATCACAGCAATGCAAAACACATGATTTCTATACCAACATGATCTTGCCTAAAGATAAGAGAAAGCCTTTCTTTTCCTTTCCACCTACTGATTTTTGCGTGCAAAAAGTATACGAGAAATTGCTAGAGGAAAATTATGCTTCCTGCAACTGCAAACTCCCCTGCAATGAAGTCAAGTACGACAAAACTGTTTCTTACTCCAAATGGCCATCAGATGCTGACATACCGATATACAAACAGCTTTTTTCAAAGGCGTTGGACTTGAATGCTAGCGAAGTGACAGATGACTTTGTCAGAAGAAATTTTCTTCGGATTGATGTTTATTATGGTGATATGATGTATAGGATGATTACTGAAGAGGAGAGTTACTCATTTGGGAAACTCATCGGAGATATTGGTGGGTATATGGGACTGCTGGTTGGGGCTTCAGTTTTCTCGTTACTAGAGTTGATTGTTTTCCTTATTCAAGCAGTCCATTTTGCTACGAAACGAAATAAGACTAATGACGTCAAAGCAATTGCTATTACTGTAGATGAACTTTCGTAATATTTTGAGCGGAGAATTCCTCACCCATGCTCTGTTCCATTATTTATTTTTAACACTGCTTCGCTTTGTCATAGGTAGTTTAGATTCAATCCAAGATTCAATTTAAATTACTACATCGATGTGACTGATAATATGTAAAATATTGGCTTGCAATTTGAATAATATTCTATAATATTGAATTAATTATCTATATTTAAATGATATATTTGTAATCTACCGTTATGGGTCAGTCCAGTGGTCTAGATTAATACTTTGCCACTATATTTAAATAAAGTGATATATTAAAATCTTCCATTCTGTAATTTTCCAATAATACAAAATAACCAACCACTATGTTTTAATAAAATGATTTATTATCTAATATTACAGTTGCCTGATGACCCTATTATATACACCAAAAAGCAAATATAATATTATATATAATACAGGTGATACACGAATATTGAAATTGTTTGATACTCGAGTGACATTCAGTAATCTATCATTTAAAATGATCCAAAGAGTTTTTAAAACAGTCCACAACTATCTGTTATTCAAATGAGTTTTAGCTACCTACCTCTTTATTTAAGGTAAACGATATAGAATTATGTATCGTAATATTTTATCAAAAATGACATTTAATGTTGATGTAAGGCTACAATATAAAATTATATACAATAATATTTTATCAAAGTGATATTAAATGTTAATGTAAGGCTACAATATAAAAATATATACAATAATATTTTATCAAAGTGATATTAATGTTGATGTGGGGCTACATTTTACCCCAAATTCCCTTTGCTTGTGTCTCTAGTTTTAACTATTGCTATTAATGTGTGACAAGTCTTGCATAGCAAGACAAAAGTAAACTTAAACTTAACTTTAACCGTTGTTAAATAAGCTCAGATCTGTCGCTGCGACAATAAACAATATTTAAACCGACATTTACATTGTAATTGATTATTCGTTATAAGTGCAATTTGTATAGAATAATATTTCACTTACGATTTCTATACATTGATTAGATCGAGATGAAAATGTGAATAGTCCCCTACCCTTGTGATTTTTTTTAGTTGGACCTAGTTTCCATAGTACCTTTTTGAGTTTGTTTTCTTATAGAAAATCACACATAATTAGGAAACTGAGACCCCGTTTACACTGTCCCGTACAAGTTTGGAACCGTGACAAAACTGTCGCGGTTCGCCCTTGCGTTTACACTAGCACTGTGGAACCGTGACGATTTTGCTCTGCTATCCGGAACAGTTTTGACCCTGCTTTGAAAGCGAACGAATTTTGTACCGTCACGGTTCCGTTTTTGAACGGGACAGTGTAAACACCTATCCGAGACGATTTTGTCACGGATTCACAAAGAGGTCTTTTGTATGGCTGTTTCAGGTAATCGAGGCTTTGATTGTGGCGTAACTACGTTCTCAAGTTCTGAAGAAAAGGAAATTCTGAAGAAAAGACGACCACAGAAAAGGCTTGTAGTGTTTCCCAGTCCAAACCTTGATTGGACTTTGCAGTTTTGTAGTCTAAAATAACACTGAAAATTAAATCCACCTTGTCTTTCGTCCAAGTAAAGTTTTAATCGGCCTTCCGCTCCATTTTAACTCACAATAAAAATTCGATTGTTGACTTCAGCGGCAAAAAAGGCCGTGGTTGACTAAATACAGCTTCTTCTAAACAATGTTCTACCATTAAATTAAGGTCGTACCGGTACAGTGTAAACGGAACAATTTGGAACCGCGACAGTGTAAACACTTGCGAACCGTAACGGTACAAAATTGTCCCGGGACAGTGTAAACGGGGTCTGAGGCTCGTTATCTCAACCGATTATCTCTATATTGTCGGTTAATGTAAGAACCGAACCGAGCCTCAGATGAAAAATTGGAAGAAAAACAAAAGATTTTAGAATAAAACCTCCCACGTTAACAAAACAGAGAATATTTTATTAGCTTTAAACCCGATATTGACAATTGCATACTAAATTTTTTATTTAGTGGCGTTAGATATCGCTTTTGGAGTGTACACGTAATATGTTAATGATTGGATAACATTAGCGTTCCGAACACTGGAGCCACAAAATATCCTAAAAATAACAACGAACCCTCTTGGATTCCCAAGGTAATTCAAGCCCCCACCTCCCCTACGCTCCTATATTGTCCGCACCCATGACTTTTTGGCTTTGAAGGGCTTTGTTTGAGAAGGAACAAAAATGCCATTTGGCTTAGGATACTGTAAGTTAAGTAAACTTTTAAGAAGGAAAAAGATTTTAATGTTAAAGTTGATGACGACAGAGTATATTTTCTGACGGCTGGCGGAGCTTGAACCAACAACTGAAATTTTAAAGAAGTCATCCCTGAGATTGGAATTAAAAAGTTGAAGAAATTTTGAGCATAATTCTGATTTCAGGGATTTTCTCTACCAAGGCAGAGTCGAGAAGGAATTTTATTTCTCATAAAAACAATATGCTGCTGATACAGTAGAAACCCGCATAAAAGAACCTAGGTTTTTTCTGGCAGCCTGAATAGGTTCTTAATTAACAGGCTGCTATTCTAAAGTCCAGTCTAAAAGGTTCTTAACAAGGTTCCTATATACCTACAGGCCTTGCACACATTAACAATGTTTTCCACCGCAAGAATTCTAATGGACACACTTAAACCAGCTTTTTTAATGAATTTCAACCAATCAAATGAATTTGTATTGTTGGGTTGTCCAATTAGAATGCAACATACCATGACCTGATTTATTCTAAAAACCCTTTTTTCTTACATATGTATATATAAAAACCTTTCCAAATTTCAACCCTTTCGGGGGTTCTTGATTATGGGGTTTTAAAGGTTAAATTTCAGCCTCAATGTTCTTATAAAAACAGGTTTCTACTGTCTTAAAAAAAACTTTTCCACTAATTGTGCACGAGAAACTTCAATTCAATTCAACATTTGTCATCTACTGTAACCTGGAATTTAAACTGAATTTACAACAATACTTCTGACTTTAATTCCTCTGATTTTGTGGGGAGAGGGGGTTAATGCCTGTATTTGTAAAGTAGTGATAGTGACAAGCAAAATCTTTTATGGGCTTTGCTTCTCTATTTGAAACTATTTATGTTGCTATGCAAATTGCTATCTATATTTAATTTCGCAAATGTGATTATTCATTTTGTTTCAAAGATGAAAAAAACTTTTCTGTCTTCTCTGATATAATTATATGACCAACTGACTGGCTGGCTGAATCAATAATCGCTCCACATGCTAACTTCAGTTAGTCTCAAAAAAGTTTTAGTAATTTTGAAAATTGTTAATAGTTGTCATGAATTCAACCTGCAATTGTTTACGCTAAATGCATCAATTTCAATTTGTCTGATGCTTTCAAGATAAAATTCAATAACTGATTAAGTTTCCTTGCTGTGTACTAAATTTGGTTCTGCTTACAGAAGCTAGATACCTGCTTGAATAACCAATTCGTCATCTTTTCTTATCACCAAACAGTCTACTCCTATCCGCTTTAAGCAGAAGTTTGAACATCCAGAAGAATCACAAAGAATAATTACCAAAGCTGTGGACCAAGATGGAGGTAAAGAAGTTTGCAGAAAATATGACCCTTCACGGAGTAGGGAGGTTTTCTATCTCTAAATCAAGGGTCATGAGATTGATATGGTTGGTGTTTTTGCTTGCCTTCCTATCATTGTTGGTTATTTCCCTAATGGCAACATTGCGTCGATATTTCAGCAAGGAGTCATTTACAAAAGAAAGGACCGTCATAGTTGCAAAGATCCAGTTTCCCTCCGTTACCATTTGCGGCCCAAGTCTGAGTAAAGACAAGCTAAAGAAATTCACCATGACGTCAAAGAAAAGTATTGAAACAGAAAAACAATTTGAGAAGATCTTAGACAAATTAGAAAGCGAAGCTAACTTACCAAAGGTAACACCGGACGAAGATCAATTATTCATGAAGAATTTATCCGGACCCGGGCTTGCTAATCGGTACCTTTACTCCATGGGCACACAAAGGATTCCAGTAATGAAACGGGGATATTGCTACAAGATCAACCCAAACGGAACTTTCTTCCAGAAAGAAGCCGGTTCTGATGAGGCATTGTCTGCATTTTTCTTTTTAAACGTAACCGATGCAATCTCCGGTGCTAAATCTGATACAGGAGACTCTATTGAGATAATCGTGCAAGATCACCAGGAGCATCCATTTTTAGATTCCGGATCTGTTTTTGCACCCGTCGGCTACTTAACACGCATTGAAATTCGTAAAACAGTTATACATAGATTAAAGGCTCCTTACCATTCAAAATGCACTAATGGTGAGGACATGCAGTTATTATTTCGAGGAAAATACACGGCCAGTAACTGCCAACAATCATGCTTTTTAGCTAGAGCATCAAGAAATTGCAAAGCCCTCAGCTTTCTTTACAACCTTCATTTACCTGAAAATTTGAAAAAGCCTTTTCCCAATACAGAACTAGAATCGGCGTGCAGTCAAGGAACCTTACAGGAACTAATCGATACAGACTTTTCTTCTTGCAATTGCGCTTTGCCTTGCTTCGAAACGAAGTTCTATAAGTCTGCCTCATATTCAAAATGGCCGTCTACCGGAGACCTGACGCCATACAAATCACTTTTTAGCGCAGCGCTTGGCCTAAACCGAAGCGTAATGACGGATGAGTTTGTACGAAACAATTTCCTCATGATCAACATATTTTTTGGTGATATGTCATACCAACGAATTACAGAGGTTGGGGAGTATACAATGGCCAAGCTTGTAAGTGAAGTTGGCGGACAAATGGGAATCTGGTTGGGAGCATCCATGTTTTCCGTCATTGAGGTCATCTTTCTATTTTGCAAATTATTACACCGCCTCTTTACAAGAAGGAAGGTCATGAAAAAGAATATCACAATTGAAAATGTGAAAGTCGAGCAAACTGTGTAGTTGATGTCCCAGACATAGACAAGGGGCTCGTGCATCAAATGTTTATGTAGGGACTGAACGGGGTCCTACCTGCAAGCAAGTATAAACAGGCGCAAAATTGTTTTAAAGAGAGTACTTAAGTGTTTCCTTTACCATATCAGTACTCAAGTGCTGCTCAAAGATCTTCATTAGCCCCCTCCTAACAAATCAGTTTTCCCCCACCCTATAATGGTATCGACACTTTACGGATATCTAGCAAACTTCACAACGTTATTGTTCATGCATGCAATCACATACAATGTACACATGAAATGCTAATTTGAAGCATGAACAAAGTGATTGATAAACTGTTTCGTTATTTTGCAAAGTCGACATTAGGTTAACACTCCATAACCCTTTTATGCATAGAATTTCTACAGTTGAGATTCGCTGTCTCGAAATATTCAGGGATCTTTGTACGAAGATATTCAAGATGGCTATCAGTTTTTAGTCCAAAGAAAATAAAGAAGAAGTAATAAACCGTTCGAGATAATGAATGGTGGGGATAGCAGGTATTCAACATAGCAAACGTCGACTTTATTTGTTTATGTCTGTCCACAGCTTTATTATATAGCCTCTATCGCCAGATTTTTATGATATATGAGTCGGAACCTTGGAGTTCTAATGACTTTGCTTAAATTGTCGGATCTACACAAATAACCTGCTTCTATTCAGAGTGCTTGGAGATATTTATAAAATATTATCATGAAACGCTATTTAATTATTCAGTAAATCTAAACATTTCACTACTGTGTTATGCAAAGCAAGAGGTTAATTAGTAATATTTATTGTTCTAATTATTAAAGCAATCACTGTACTTACTTTGATTAACAAATAGAAAATTAAATTGTCACTTATTAGAGATAGTGCTTGTTTGATAGCTTCCTTTGAAAATTTCTGAAAAGCTTTTTCTATAGGTACGCAGTACTGATTGGACAACTACCGCAAATCCTCGAATTGCCCCCCGCCCTCAAAAAGCCCCCTCTCGAATAAGCCCCCCCCTAAAACTGCAAATTATCAATTAGCATCCCCTCGAATAAGCCCCCACCGCTACCGTAAATTCTCGAGTTAGACCCCTCGATATGTTGATTGTTGCCAACTGAGGTTGCATTTGGCGTTTTATTCAATTACCACAAAAATTAATTCTTTTGGTAATAATTACTTAAATGTTTATAAAAAAAATCATACTAAAGTATACGAGGTCTTTTAGTAATTTCTTTTTGATTTTTTACTATACTTTTATAGGCTAATTCAAGGATACTGGTCATATGTCCGTGATTTTCTGATATTTCCAGCAAAACTGTTACTCAGTGACCTTCGAAGCAACTTTTAGTTTGTAGTTGTAGATAAAAACAAGAAATAAAAATGATATTAATCACACTCAGGCAGATTTTGCAGAAAAAAGAACACTGAACCTTAGTAAGAAAATCATTTCAATGCATTTTAGCCAAGGAGCTCGACCCTAGATTGCTTCTACAAATACTCCTTTTCTAAGAAATGTCCATCTTCACATTCCAATTTGTATAATACTGATAAAAATACATAAAAGAGTTAAAGCATAACTATTACTAAATTAAAAACTTCTACATTACTAAACCTTGCTATTCATATAGATTGTGTCTTTGTCTATACCCCCAAGGGGTTCTCTACCTAGTTTAGGGCAGGGTTCCTAACTGCTGTGAAAATATTTTTTGTACACGTCTTGAGAAATTTTGGTCATGAAAAGGAAACAACCATCAGGATTTCATATGAATCTCTTTAATGATTACAAAAGAGCGAGAGCAAAGGGTTATTTCGCCCTCTTTGTCCCTTCTATCAAAGGGCAAGAGTGAATGCCCCCTTGCACCCCCCGCTCCGTTGTCCCCGCAGAAAACCACCACCCCCTGGCGTCTAATCTTTTTGAATAAGACTCGTACTACTTCACTTCAATAACCGTCCTGTAAGGACAAAATACTTCACTCATATGACACGTATTTCATAATGAGCCACTTGTCCAAGTAAGACTGTCTAGATAGGTTTTGTGGCCTCCTCTTTCTTGAAGATAGTAAATGCCGCCATTAGTTGAAATATCTGTAAAATACAAAAGTTTTAATTGTCTGAGATTGCTGTTTTTAAAAAATTTTATTTGAGATATATTTACACCCTGAGCTTCATTTTGCCAATTGATTAAAGTAAGACACAAGCGGAGGACCAGCAGTTGTTAAAGACAAGGTTGGCCATACCATTATGCCATTCCCCCGAATAATATTCTACTGATAATTTTGGTCCAATCTTATTTTATCATAATGTTTTTTCAATTCATCATTGTAATGATGGCCCCCTTCCTTATTATTAATTTGGCTTTCCTAGTCCAATAGAACCGGTCGTTCCTGGGACAGGATTTGAAATTGAGCCCAAACAACCAAGGTGATTTGGGTACCTATCTTCGGAAAATCTTTGGCGCAGAGCCTTGAGTAGGTAATTTTTGGTGCAGGATATGGAGAAGGAAAGCTCATTAATCACTCAATAGCCAACTATTTTTCCGTTGTGACTCTAGATACTGTTCAATGGGAAAGATGCAATAAAGGCATGTTTTTACAAATTCTACATTCATTTAGCACAAGCAAGTCAGGCCATGACACAAAAAATGTTGTTGGAAAGAAATGTTCAGCGCACAGCCACCGTCAAATTCATCCTTGCAAACAAAAGGATTTGAATTCTTCAATATTCCTTCAAAATAAGTATACTGTCAAATATTCAACATAGGGGCTAGCATCTTTTTAAAGTAAATGGGTACCTCTGCCTTCATATAAGCAACGAATGAATCTCTGTCGTGTTTACAATCATGGATGAGAATATTCTAAACCTATCTTCATTCTTGGAATCTACAAACTTGGTCTAGAATTTTCTGCTTTGATGAGGAGGTATAAACAGTGGCGGAGCCACGGGGGGATTGCGGGACTAGTCCCCACACTTTTTTAGAAAGTTAGTCCTTGAGATTCTTGCAAAGCTGATGACAAAACTTCGGGGGAGGGGGGGGGGTATGTACATTATCTAGATCGTCACATTTTAATGACATTTCTAGGGAGACAAGAGGTGTTTCCTCCGGAAGAAAATGTTTCAAACTGGGAAAAAAGGCGTGGTCCAAAAGGGCGCGATCCCTGACAAGCCTTTTGCCCCCCGGCCCCCCCCCCCCCACTTATCTCAGACTGGAGCCGCCACTGGGTAGAAAGATGTTAAACTAGATCTAAATCGCTTCTTTAACCAACAAGCTCACATTTGACACTTGTTGATAAATAGTTTAGTACCTTTGAATTGCTTGTGATTAACCTATTAGGAAACCGATTTATCTTCATGTGACCAGGCAATTTCTGACATTTTCAGCTCATCCCTTTTAGCATCTTGCTTGTGAAGCTTATAATGAGTGTGAGGCTATCGTAGACACGATACAATTGAAGGTTTTTGCTATAAATCTGTTTTAATAGCGATAGCAGTTTCTGCTCTCACTTGTTTGCTAATTATATGTTTTATAACATAAGTATGGTAAAATTACAGCCTTGGAATATCAAAGTTACGAAAAATCTATTTCCCATTGACTGTTTCAATAATAAACCGTTTTATACCAGAGGTATCATGGAGCATTTGACCCTGATTAACTTTGGAGCATGCAACCTTTGGAAATTTCTTTATAGTACCTCTTCCACCTACCTCTGTAGCAAGAATCGCAGCAGCAAGACCACCAAGTATTAGCAGGTGTTCGCTTCCCCATTCCTTCATCTTTGCAATGCATCCCTGTTAATAGAAATAAGTGCGAGCTGTGGTACTTTTCCGGATCTTTGGCGAAAGCAATATGGAGATGGAAGAAGTGACATTTAATGTGGTTCAGATATTCTCATTTGAAGTTTTGGAAACATTTGATAGTATTCTCTTATACTAAGGAGTACGCCCTTTTCAGCCCTCCCACATTTAGACTGGTGCGCGGTCCCTGATATCGGCTAGAATACAAGTACTCTTTATAAAGTTGAACCTCGCCATTTTAACATCAAAGCAGCTATCGCCATTGCAGATGGGCCTCGGTTCAATCTTAAGAAACCCTTGCTGTGCATATCCGTCAATCAGTCAAATACAAGGTGTTCTTATCTCAACCGTTTCTCCATACTTACCGATTCGAAAGTTTCACTTGACATTGTTTGGTTGCTAGATTCTGTGTGATTTTTCTTGTTCCCATCAATGCAGCTAGTAGGAAATTGTTGGTTGTTACTTTGGTTGTTCTTAACCCAGTCGGAGTTTTTGTAGTCGTTAACACTATACGCTCCACAACATTTCATCTAGATAAAAAATATTACACTTTCAATGATGAAAGATCGCTTGCTATTAGAAATAGGTTTAAAGAAATAAATTGGTAAACAAAAAGATTCAAGGAAGTTATGATTATTTTTGCAACTTTGACTAATGACAAAAAGTCACGGGAATCAATATTGAGAAAAATACTAGAACCAAATTGTTTGGAAATTCCGTGACAAAATGAAGTGAGAAACGCTATATCTTGCTTTAGATGTTTCAGTCAATTACCTGTTGTCAGCAAGTTTTGAGAATCAAACATACAGTAGAACAATCGGCACGATTAAATAAACAACAATTAGAAATACTTTTTATTTACATGAAACAATACGTAAGTTTTTTAAACAATGTATGTACGCTGCTTTTTCACTTAGTGGATCATTTGATTTTTTTTCTATTTTCTTTAATCAATTTCAGATGATTTACTGATATTCTTTTCAGATTCGTCAGCTACTGGTTAAAGAACTGTTTCTACCAAAAGCCTTTTTCGGTGAGTAGGATAAACTTTTCATGTTTTCTGTCACCCTTTTTAAAAAATACTTATTTTTATGATGATATGTTTTCGTCATAAGCATTGCTTTCATCTTCCTTGAAACTTTAATTTTTTCATTAATTTGTTTGTTGTTATCCGTTACTCTCTTGTAATTCAATTGAACTTTCGAGTTGAAGTGTCAAGAAAAAATCTAACTTTGATGTCAAAAATCGAAGACTAATTGATGTGAATAGCTTCCTTATCATATAATATCTTATAATAAAATTAAATATTCATCAATTTGCATCTACATATTTTGAATTAAGGATATTGTAACCTGGTAGACTATTAGTCCTGGATACTTTTTTTGGCAAGGTTGATACGAGGGTCTTCAAAGGGCAGGAGGTTGGAATCCACCGTACCACGCAACTCTAGTTGAAATCCTCCGTTCAAAGGAGGTTGAATCCACCGTACCACGCAACTCTAGTTGAAATCCTCCGTTCAACTATATATTACCTTCGCCCTTCCAACATCTCCTTCGCAGTTTAGGTTTACCCTCGCAGTATAACGAATGCCTTACTGATTTGACAAAAAAGACTATTGGAAAGTCTATATTAGGGATATTTTATATCGAGACAGGGAGAAGCGTGTGGAATCAATAATCTTTAGTGCAGTATCTTCGTTGTTTAGTTGCGAATAGCCCCTCTCAATTACATATGTCTTTACATATGTCTTTTAATCAAAAGACGGCCTATTCTGAGTATGTAAATAGCTGTTGAATTTAAAGCAGTTACCTCTTTCTGTATATTATTGATTGCTTCTGTGATCGGGCCATTTCCTTTCAAACCGTACGTTTTTTGAATTGCTTTCGTAACCGCATCCTTAACATACTCTTCCGCCTAAATAAAAAGGTAAAAAACATCCACGATGTCATGTTTGCTTTATATATAGTCATTCGGAGTACATATATGGGCATTGGTATATTGTCATGCATGGACAAGAATAAACGGTTATAGAAGTAGAGTTGAATCCCGTTAACGGCTGTTGTACAACCGGCATGCTTTGCGGCAGCTGTCTTGGGATATTGAATGTGTTTTGTATTTCCATGCAGTACGATATTATGCCAGGTTTTAGAATTACATTCGCAAAACGTCCCGGTTGCGCAAGAGCCAAAGCTTACCTCGAAACTCATTTTCTATTCCCATTGGATTTTTCCTGCACTCTTTAAGACAAAAGTTGTACCCCATGTTAGTCGGACAGTCACTTAGTCGGGCCCTATCCTTACCTCCGTTGTAGGTATCTAAATTGACATAATTTTATGGAAAGTCAAGTAAAAAAAATTAGATAAATTATAATTGGTCGCCTGTTTTAAGATGAGGTTATTGCCACTTTGTTATTCCCTCGAAGGCTCCAGGCTCCAACATGACTTTCAGAGAAGCCTGAAACATACATTTCACTAAGAGATAATTCAGGGTTATTTTTGGAGACCAAAAAGCGAAAGTTTTCAAATGTGTGGGTTATCCCCCATCTTGATGTTAAAGAAAATGTTTTAAAATGATTATGTCGCATGTGCATGCTTATTGATCCCGCGAATAGGGGTTAACTCACTCGGTAGAAGACTCTCTCTTATTCGTCTCCTTAACAAATAAACAAAGAAATCGAATTGACGTACCTTTCCCTTGAAGGCAAAAGCAACGGAAACGCAGCCGATTTCAAACAACATAATCACACCAACGAATGCCATGTACTAGAAGGAAAATGCTTTAACGTTGTTTACAGATGCAGTATAAAAGCGGCCGATTTAGCACCCTGGGCACCATGGCCACAAAATTTTGAGCACGTAAACATAATGCGAAGCAGAGAAGCGGAGGAGCGGCTAGAAGAGAAGACTCCTATCTCCTCCACTCCTATCTTCTGTTTCCGCTCTCGAATTTATGTCTCTGGTACTCAGGGTACCGATTTAAGGCCTACGATCATTTTAGCGCTTTCGTTTGCGCGCTTGGTGCTACCAGTGAACAAAATCACTGCGACAAAAGTTCTCTAAAGAAAGCGTACGAATGGGCGCAACGCATCCGTGAACGACATGACTTTAGTCGAAATAAACCTTAGGATAACGGTTTTTCAGTTTTTTACGCCATCATTGTGCGGTAAGTTTATTCAAATGTATACTTAGCTTGACCCCTGTTAGCAGATGAGTCCACATAACGGACACTCCTCCAGATTCCTCACTACAACGAATAGTAACTCTTGCTTAGCGGGTTGCAACTTTTGTATAACTGGTTGGCGTGCCCGTAACAACTTGCATTATTACACCAGGTTAATCTTGAGGTAGGTATCTATCTCAAAATTAACCTGGTCTATAAGGCGCAACTTTAAAGGCAGCGTGTCCGTACAACTAGCATTCTTTGAATAGGGGAGAGGGGGCGTAGCTGGTTCTATAAAACTCTGTGGTCTAATGAAGCTTGGTCTACAAACCAATCAAATCACAGAGCTTAGGACGATGGCGTCTATGAATCACAGAATTTCTGTCAAAATGTGATCAGCAGTTTAAGTGATTGCACAATTTAGGCCGTAGATGCCCCAACCCCAAACTTTTGGGTTGGCCGGCAAATAAAAACAGTTTCTAGATTCTAAGTTTGTTACTTATTTTACCAATGTTTCTAAACTTTGAAGATTAATAAAAAACGGCAAATCAATTCAGCCTTAAAGTGTATTTCATCCCTGCCAAAAAGGTTGTTTGTGTATCTCTTCTAAATTGCGCAAGATTTCACTGAACTAGTCTCTTCCCATTAAAGTTACAATAAGATCAATAGGCTTTTCAGTTCAGAAAATGGATGTATAGCCTTACCAGAAGCAGACAACACTTGTTTTCTTTGCATGCCCCACATATTCCTAGAAATGCCACAAGGAAAATCGCAATGCCTCCAACGAGAATCACCGTTGAAGGAGTCTGGATTCCATTTGAACCCAAAACAGTGTCGTAATCACCACTTTTGTATCTGATCCAACCAGCTAAGGCCATAACAGCAGTACCTAAAACCTACAAAAAGCGAGTCATATCAGAATCGTCCTAATGACGCAAGGAGCATTAATAATCGTTAAACTGTCTCTTAAGCTTTTGCAAAACGACTAAACATTTCACTCAACATTTATTTAGCGAAGTTGAGCGACGTTTAGCAAAGGTTGCAAAACGTGACTAAACTTTTCACTAAACAACCTTTTTGAACTGCGATCTGTGTAAGACGCTGTGGGGGTTGTAGATGATCTAACATAGGAATTTTCTTTCTATTTTGGTTGTTGTACGTTAGCATAAAAGACTTCAAGTGCAAAGACTGGGTAAAAATAAAAATTGATAAAAGAAAGGAAAATAAAATACTTTTTAGCATATCGATAACAAATTTGACTGTTGAAGAAGACACAGTAGCCTACAAGAAGACGAAGCAAATGTCTCACGAAGGCATTCTAGAGATTTTTGGTCACGTTGAAACAGGAAAACCGAGAAAAACCCTGGAAAACCTTTGGATTCTCACAGCTAAAGCATCTGCGCTAGCACAACAAATGTATAATTGGTGGCAAAACGACTAAGCATTTGCTAAACAACACTAAACAACGCTAAAGATTTTTGACCAGAATCAAACTTGGCTCAACAACACTCAACACGACTAAACAACATGAAACAGGGTGGCAAAACAAATAAACTTTTCACTAAAAAAAGTTGTGTGAAATGTTTAGTAAAATTTTCAGTCGTTTTGCCAGGGCTTTAGGCTTAGCTATTCCATCACTCCTTGAATCTGAAGCTTTTTTCCAGATAGATAACTTCTTTCCTAAGTTTACGACAAAAATAGCATTATCACAACTGGTTGACGTTAATGCAAATAAGTGACTTTTAACCAATTAGAAACGACGTTAGATAGTTTATTGTTCATACCAGCCAATCGCTGAGAGGACAGATAACATTAGAGACTGAGTCAAAAACAAGAGGTTTCATATACTATGGTATCTTACTTGTGACCATTGTCTGTAACAATGCCAAAACGCTCAAAAAACAATAGAGTATCGAAGCATGATGTCATCAACAATCTACTTCGAGCATTTTTTAATTTTGACTACATATTCTGGAAGCATAGAATAACACTCAATACCCAAAATCCTTTACATATGCTCAAAATTGGGCGAGATATGGCCAATGAAAGATTTCAAGTTTTCGAACGGATTACTGTTATTCTGGCCTGGTTCATAAAGTTATGAAACCAAGACCAAATTATAGAGGTTTGATGGGGCAAGATTCTGTGCTCATGTGGCCATATCTCAGCCAATTTGTAATACTTTTAACTTATTTTGAGCATTTAGAGGTATTTAATAATGCCCTTTTTGGATGTATGGTCAAAATTAAAGTATTCTAAAAATATTTTCATGTGACGTCATCGCTTCGGCACTCGATGCAAAGCGAGCGATATTGTACTTAACCTTGAATTCAATTCAACCCCTCCCCAGGCCTGCATTGTAGGAGCACATCGTATTGTCTTACATAGCTTGTGTTTTCAATAGCTTTGGGTCTGAAGCTCGCAAAGCTCTGCATTTTACTGTACCAAATACAAATGTATTTGTAACGGGGTGAACAAACTTCTAAAAGAAATGAAAAAATCATAAGTGCCTTACTGGGTAAACTGTCCCATATTTCAGACTGTTTGTCAATCATACCCTCAACCCCCCACCTCCCAACCCACAAAAAAGACATTATGCCAAAAAGGCCATTTTCCTAATCATAGAATGAATGCTACAACCCCTAAAAACCTATTGACACTGAAACAGGGATCGCTGAACCTTTCCATCCCTCCCCCTCCCCATTCCCCCGACATTCATACTACTCTTATTAGAAAAACCCTGACTAAAGTAACTGATTGTACACAATGTGCTTTTGACTCGACGGTTGCTTTCAGGAAACACTGTGGAATACTAAAGTGTAATCCATCGGTTTACAAAAGGCAGTGTTTTTGGGATCAATAACATTAATGATGAATTGAGCATTCTAAATGTTTCATCTTTTTCGATTAAGCTTGTGTACATAAGTTTTTACCTGATTCATTTTACATACAAAATATCAACAAAGATAAGACACTGCTGAGTACCCTCTTTTCAGTTATTTGTTTCTTTAATGTTCGTTAACCGAAATGAAAGAAAATTTTCGATAGGAGCTTTTATAAACACTATCTGATATGGAAAATTGGAAAGAATTTCAAATAATATTTCACTGGGGTGAACCTATTTCTCGTTATGGCTGTCTGTGAGCTAGATAAATTGTTCGTGAAAGTCACACTTCTCAGATTGGATAACAGCGAACTTTGATCAGTGAAATCTACTTTGCTGCGGGTTTGATACTGTTGAAACCGCATCAGTTTTTGACCAAGTTAAGATTGAATTTGAACCTTTAAGCAAACCCTAAAATCAGCAATCCTTGAAGCTTTATAACGAGACTGTAAGACATTTGAACATTTAACTTGAATGGCCTAGACAAGCGCATAATGTTGACACTAAAGCACCATTGCGTTAAGAACAGAATACTTACAAGAAAGAATGAGTTTCCAATCACCAATGTGATTCTTGCACACAGTCGCCCACAATAACCCATGATGTAGCGAATTGAATTGATGTAGATCTTTAAAGATAAAAAGGTTTGCTTCAGACTCAGTAGATTGTAGCTTGGCGTTCTTGTAACGAGAAACTACGTTATTTAGGGCTTCAAGCATATCAAGTTTCTAAATGCGTGCGCTTTTTCAGTTGTAACAATCATCTCAGCAAAACACTTCCTTGTTTGCAGATAGAGTGACAATGGCCTGACCGTAAAGGCCGACCTCCACTTGGCCGCGCGTACGGTGCGGCCAAGTCACCAAGTCTTGCAATTTGATTGGATAATCTCCGACGTACGTAGAGCGGCCGCTCTGAGAGTAGAACCAGGTTCTACTTTCAAAGCGTACAAAGTTTGAACGTGACGGGCAAGAATATTGCATCATACCGAGTCACTGGGCATGCGCTGACTTGACCGCACCGTACGCGCGGCCAAGTGGAGGTCGGCCTTAAGAATTGTAGCTGTGTATATGGCTAATCAGTTCGTCCGCAATTCTGTTTAACTATTTTTTAAACCGAAACACTGTAAATTTTTTGGAAAATTTTCCGTAAATTCTGTAACAGTGCCTTTTAACTTGATGCATTTCCTTGGTCTTTTTATCCAAATACGTGCACCATCTTTGAAAAGAATAAGCCCATGAAAAGAACTTTATTTTAAATTTGTTTGCCAACTTGAATTTTTGAAGTTTTGTTGACAGGTCTCTTAAAAACCTAACTGGTTTTGGTGGGGGTAATGTTTCCTAACTCTCTTCCTGTGTTAGGGGTGCGTATTCCTTTGAAGGAATTATTACAACTACTTTCCCCTTATTCCAATTCTGCCTGTCTAGCACGTTTAATCATATGAGAACGGAGAGAAAATTTTAAGGGCTGAATATCATCCCTTAAGTATACCTGACCCCACATCGTATGCAGGGATGCATCGGGGTTCAATCTTTGGGAAGCTTCAAAAATTTCCTACCAATCTGGCAAAGTATCAAGTTTTCCGGATTTTTCAATTAATCCAAATTTTAAGTGGAGATAAAGCACCCTACAAATGCACCCTATTCGAATACATCTGTAGTGGATCCAGCTTTTGAGTGCGCCATTTTATTGTTTATGGCTATTCACACTAAGGATAGACCTTTTTTATAACTATTCTCAAATACAGTATATTCGAGTCGCATGGTGCAAGTCCTGTTCTTATAGTGTGGTGAAATTACGATTTTACCCGGACAAAAATAATAAAAAGCTGTAATTTGGCACATAGGTTCCATACAATACTGGGAATAACCACTGATCAGTGCGCCATTATGGTATTTGCCCAAATAAGGAATTCCCAATGTCCAATTGATGGGGCTTTTTTCTGGTCATTTCCAAGTTATTATAGAACATCTGTGCCAAATTACAGCTTTATATTATTTTTATCCGGGTTAGACCGTTTTCATATCTAATTCCACTAAACTATTATACCGTAACTACGTGACGCGGTAAACATGTTTTGAATGTCCTTATAATAAAATTAACTCATAGTTTTGTATGTTTGGAAAATTGCTAACTCGCCCCCCACCGATATTTCATGTTAGAAAAGACTTGTCTTAATAAATTTACACAGTGGAGCCTCCATGTAACAGACCACGTTTTGACCAGTGTAATTGTCCGTTGTGTATAGAGGTGTGCGTTGAATGAAGGTTGTTTTGAGAGCGTTTCGACCATTCGCCCTTTTAGAGGTTTCTTAATAGAAGTTCCACTGAATATCCAAAGAAATATTGTTGAAAGTGGTTATGTTCGTTTTGCACATAGTACATTTTAGGAGCTTGTGAAAGAACTCACAATTGGCCGGTAAGCTAATATATTTCTGTCCGGGGAGGTTTTTTATTTTCGATTAAGAAATAAAATTTATTTTGTTAACGATTGACAAAAAATAAAATAAATTCCGTGACTAAAATGAAAAAAACAACTTAACAAATTGAGAACATCAGCTAATAAAATATTATCAATTTGCTTACTTTAGTCACACTCAGAAAACGATACAGTGGAGAAGAAAGGTGGGAAGTTAGGGGCGACTAAAGGGAGGGCTGTAAAATCAACATAACTTCCATGTGTAAAAACTGCACATTCTCTGCCTCTTCACCCATTCTTACACACACTGATCTATAAAAAAGACTGGATCGAGCTTCTTATTGTCTTGAAACACCAAAGTTTGAAGCCTGTCCTCGAAACCAATACTTCAACGATATGGATGAGCGAGAGCTGCAATGCTGTGTGTTTGATTGCTGAAAAAGAACAAGGCCAAAGCAGCTGAAAACATTGCTAGGGGTGACAGAGAAGGCCGTCTCCTCGCATGGGCTGTTCTGGGGCCCTCTTCTCGGATGGCGACACTCTGGTCACATTCGAAGCTCGATCCAGTCTTTTTTATAGATCAGTGCTTACACATTACTTTACAATCAGTGCTTACACATTACTTTGTCTTGTGGGCCATCGTGGCTTTTGCTCACATTTGGTATCTGGCAAAAAGTCATTGGCGTGATGGCCATTCCCTAGCCGTGCAGGCAGAGAACCACATAAATAAAGACTGGGTCCAAATTTTTCTCTCACGGCGTTGATTTTGTTTCGCAAAGTCAATGTAGAGAGCTAGTTTAGCTGCGTAGGAAATTCCACCTGTATATTACAGTTGACCTTGCTTTTCTGACTAGATTCATCAGAATGGCTGCTAGCCTTCCTAAGAACGCTTCCTAGTTAGGGCCTTGACGCCAAAGATACATCTTAAGTTTGGAAGGTATGGTCTCCCAGCTAGTGCACTTTGTTTTTGGTGTAACACAGGCATCACAAATATCGATTAAAACAATATCAGCGCTCACGGCATGAGGGTGGAAAGGGGGGGAGATACCTTTTCTATTATTTCAACATCATTTCATTTTTATAGCCAAGTTGACAGTCTTCCTCTGTTTGGGTGGCCTTAGTTGACCACCACTGGCATAATCAGTTTGAATGCCTTGGCGAATACCTGTGGCGTATGACCTTTTTTGATTCAAGCATGGCACCGAGAATGAAATTTCTGTCTAAACTGCCTACGACTCGAGACTCTTGTGTAGCGTTATTGCCAAATATGGCCGTAGTATTCTGATCCTCCCGAATCGAGCATTGATCCCCCATCCTCCCCCTTCCCCGTAGCAAAATTAAATTTCAATTGGATCCCTAGTAGGAAGCACTCTGCGTAACATAGCAAATCTCGATGCAAAAAGGAGGCGAAAACAATAATAAAACCTACAAGCTCGTGTCTCATTTTTGGAGCAGCGTGTGTGTGTGTTGGAAGATTTCCAATGAAGAAAGCACATGAAAAAGCACGAGGTTACTTTCTGCTAGACACTCTCTGTAATATTTGCAAACAAACTAAACTCTACATTTAACTATTTAATTATATAAAACACAGAATTCATTACAACAGCATACAATAATATGTAAAACACAGAATTCATTACAACAACATACAATAATACATTAGTTAGACTATAACCTATCTTAAATCTTAAAACTATGGCACCTCTATTTCTATTAACATCAGTATACTAGCGTATACGATAGTAAACATGCAAAAACAATTGTGAAGCGATGTTGCATGCTAATTAGTCTTTTGTTGTTCACGGTTCATGCTTGGTTCTAGTTTCTTGGGATTTGAACCAAAGGTAATACCAAAGATGTTGGTGGATGTTTATGAATACTGGTCAACATTTTAGACAACGTCAACGTCTGCACTTTTCCCTTTGTAAATAATGCAGGCGCATATCAGACCACCAAGCTGCAAAGGATAGAAAGCATATTTACATTGTGATTGCCAAGCATAGCAAGTGAATTGACTAGAAGGAAAATGTTGATGGTACATAAGAACGCAATTCTCAACGCGCGAAGTAGTCTGCGGCCTATTCTCATAATGTTTTTGTTAGGAACTTTCAGGGACCCTCTTGGCTCGGAGCTTGTGGCAATCTGCCTCTCTCGACATACCAGGCTTAAGGGGCATGCCAAAAACTCGGTGCTGAATAGAATGGGCTTCTGCGAAAGGCCGGTTTATGACCCTCAAAACGGTTGGCAACACCCAAAAAAAATTTATAACCAGAGATTCGAAACAATACTTTTGAATCAGGTGTGCTAATGGAGCTTATTCGAAGTAAATTATCAGGTTATTATTCAGGAGGCGCTTATTGGGTGACGTTTATTCGATTTTGACTTTGAAAAAGACACCCACTAAAAGGAGCACCCCTGTTTGAGGATTGATCCCCCATTCTCCCCCTTCCCCGTAGCAAAAATAAATTTTAATCGGATCCCTCGTAGGAAGCACTCTGCGTAACATAGCAAATCTCGATGCAAAAAGGAGGCGAAAACAATAAGAAAACCTACAAGCTCGTGTCTCATTTTTGGAGCAGTGTGTGTGTGTGTTGGAAGATTTCTAATGAAGAAAGCAAATGAAAAAGCACGAAGTTACTTTCTGCTAGACACTCTCTGTTTGAGCACCCCTGTTTGAGGAGCACCCCTGTTTGAGCACCCCTGTTTGAGGAGCACCCCTGTTTGAGGATTGTTTCCAAACTTACCTCTACAGCAACAACTGCTGCAGCTATACCACCGAGCCGAACCAAATTATCTCCTCCCCATTCTCTGAACTTCTCTACACAGCCCTGCAAGGGAAACAAATAATGAATTGCCTTAGAAAGATGATAAAAAATCGAAAGCTTATTATGCCCGTGTTATCATCGCCAGGGCAGAAACAGAAAGCTGTATTTGCAATCCATACGTAGGTTTATACTTCTTACAACAACAATAGTCACATTGAATCATACTCTAGCTAAGGAGTGTCTGGCATAAATACAATAAGTAGAGAAACACTCTTACGTGTAGCCCAGAAATGGGCTCTATCTTCTTTCCAGATAGACTTCAAAATTCCATAAATTGGAACTTAAAGACTCATTGCTAACAATGGGCCTTTGCGAGCGTGGCGACAATCCAAACAATGGCAGTAAACTTCTACGGATTAACCAAAATTGATTTCAGACTGTCTAAAAATGCATTATGGGATGCTTGCGTAGCGCAATGGCTCATTGTTAGCAATGACTCTTTTAAGGGTAAAACCCTAACAAATCTTTTAAGAAGTTTAATTGAGCCCATGAGTGCTACTGCCAAACGTACCTTCTCAAAAGGGTAATCTCCTGTGCCATTTACTTTTGTTGAGCTATGTCTATCTTCATCTATACAACTGGCGGGAAACTTTATTGTGTTATTCGCCCAGTATGAGCCAATGTAATCATTGACATTCTTTGCTCCACAGCATTTCATCTAGGGAAACAAAGGTGTTGTTATTAGGGATGTATTTGAAACGAGTTGGGGTGTGCTACAGTTGCAGTTTTTCACGAGTTGGTCGGTAACACTTTCAGTTTGTTGACAAAATTTCTCTGGTAAATAAGAATTAATTCAATTTTCATTTTGTATTCTTTCGTAATTTTGATGACCTTCTACTCTTCCAATTTGGAAATCTACGGTAAAAATTTGTTTGTTATAGCTATTTACCGAGAGCTTTGGGCTAGCTACTTTTCTAGAAAATTTAGCAAATGACTCTTTGCTGGAAAATAACTCTTTTTGTCAGATGAACTTCCCTGTTTGTCACTAAGAAGCCTCTCTATCAGTAAGAAAGTTTTTGTTAGAAAAAGTTTTAAGATTGAATGCATTTTTTCTAAAAAAAAGGCCATTTTCTGTGGGAAGATATTTTTAACAAAAATAAGACAGCATAGACAGAATTACGGAGAAATAATCGCAGTTTATTTCTTGCACGGACATGGAATTTGAAAAGGATATTTTCTATTTTGTTTGAGTGCCCTCTCCTTCTGACCTGCTCCCAACATCACTTGTTTGGAGCTAGGACAAAAATGCAAACAAAACATACAAAAAATCTACGCTCTAAAGTAATGGTCATACGTGCAGGTGCAAATGAAGAACGTTCATGTAAACTAACCGTCCTCTGAATGTCATTAATTGCATTCGTCACGGGGCCTTCGTTGTCTTTTCCATAGCTAACTTTGAGAGCTTTCGATAGTTTGTCTTCGACATATTCTTGAACCTTGAATAAAAAGGAAATTCTTAAATGTTGCCTCCGTTGCCTGTGATGTTAACAGTGCCGTCGGAAGAAATTCATATTTGGGGGATTGTCCATTGTTTTTCTTCTCATTCAGTACTCCATTATAAAGGAAACATACTACAGTTTGACAATTATTGGGGGGGCTCCAGCCCCCCCCCCACTTCCGACGGGCCTGTTAAGCAGCATTATTGGTGTTTTACGGGAGTGTAACAAATATTGCCAATTTTAGGCCTAGTTTTTACTACGTGTTATCAGTTCAGTGATTGTATCAAAGCTGTCTACAACGAGTCAAACCAGCTGAGGCCTTAGACATTGGATTTGGACTGCATATTGTTGTCAAAGTAAATTTAATTACGGTAAAAGGCATTAGAACCGTAGAGGACAAGAACAAGAAATTAGGGCCGAAAAATTTATCATATTAGCCTTGTTATAGTTCTATGGCGTCACGACCACAACAATACTTTCAATATGGCAAATCTTTTTGGTGGATTGTAGCTGTCCAGGGCTTGCGTGTTTCGATATGTTTTTCGAGCTATTTACGACTTTTAAAGTGCGACTTCGTTCGATTTAGAACAATCAAATGCTACTGATTTAAGGAACGAATTCTATTTTCTATTCTTTTTTGGCTTTTTGTTCTCTCAGATTGCTTTGTATTAGGCTTTTTTACGCAGGTGCACCCTGAAAGGGCTCCCATATCATAGGCTACTTTTTAGATAATACCATCTCATAGGTTACCATATAATATTTCATAGATACCATATCACTTATTACATTTAAGATGTGTGCTTACCTTGTCCTTGTAAAGAAATGTGACGGTCACGGCACCAATCTCCAATAAAAGTATTAAAACAACAAGCACCATGTACTGCAACGAATGAGAATAAAACTGTTATCATATGAATAAATTTAGTTTTAAGAGACATAGAATAGCCTCTGTTATTCATTCAAACATGCTTTATTGTTGCTGTTGTAAACGAAAAGGCTGGGGAGGAGCAAATGCTGCAGCCCACAAAAATTGACGGTGTGTTGTGATGCAAGATTTTGCGTTAATTAAAATTGAATCTCTACGTACTTAACGGACATTTGTAGCGTGAACGAGGAGTTAAAATCGGTTTCTGTTTTGTTTTAGAAATATAGGGGATATACATAAAAGAAGTTCTACATCTTGACAATTTTAACAAGGCAAAGAAGCAAGAAAGTCAAAGGCAAAAAATCAACAAAAATTAACCCGGATCAATAAGGCTTCTCCTCCTTTCAAAGTCAGATTCCATTCAAGGCTACAATTTGCCTTTAAATTCGGGCTTTGGGACAAGAGTGACCATTCATTCATCCACTTCTTATTACAGTTTGCCTATATGCATGCCAAAGCAGATTTTTCTTCAAGTAATATTTGGGTTTTCAAAATGAGTGTTGATCATTAGATATCCTACATACTTGGATGTACTTTTTCGACATCTCTTAAGTGCGACATATATTTAATAGTTTTATTTCAAACTTACTTTACTAAATCAACAAGCAAATACATTAAAAGTATTCCTTAAATTTAATTTATTTTGAAAATTTTATCTTGCTACATTGGATGCTCGTCGTCGTATTGCTTTGATCCTGAATATCTTTCGTATTATTACAGCCTACAGTCTCTTGCAAGTGAGTTTCTGAAGTTCTTCCAAGAGAACTGCAAGTTGCTGATAAGTTGTTTAACTTTGCACAATTAAATAAGCAAATATTTCAAAGTATTTTTGAGAAGTCGAGTTTACTTTATAACATGGCTTTGTTCAGCTGTACAAGGAATAAATAATGACGTCATCCTTTGTAAAGGGACAAACGTTCAACCTGCAATTTGCAGGAAACACCGCGAAAAATATCTCTCCTTCCACTACTTGACATTATGTCAAGTATTGAAGTTGCTTTTTATCGAAGTACTCAATACTAAAGTTATCTTGGAATCATCATAGCTGAAATCTGGATGCTACAAAAATTTGTTGCTGATAAAATGAAATATCAGGGGCTCCGACGTAAATGGAGGCAAGAGGGTGGGCAAAGGGTAACTCAAAGTAAAAAGGCTCCACAGTGTTAGAGGCCCTGAATATGCATACTTCACCTTTTTCTAGCCTCACAGTTCACAAATAATGATAACACAGACGTTTTTTAGGAATACTGCATCTAAAACTATTAAAACTAAAGAAAAAAATGAAAATGAAATTAACGCTGGTTAAAACTTTGCCCGTATTATTTATTTGACTTTTCCTCTAATTTGCTAATTTTCCAATTTGATTTATATTTACGGAAGTAATACAACAAAAAATAATCTAGTTTTACAATAGGAACATTCGATATCCACATTTCATTTCTAATATTTACTCATGGTTTCGTTTAAAAATAACTTATACTAGTAATATGTTTAGACTCAAAAACTGAAAATTTTTAGAATGAGAAAGAAATTACCATCATTAAAAGACATCGGCTTTCTTTCAGGGCTCCAACTAACCCAAGGAATGCGACCAAAAATATCGTTGCGCCTCCAATTATAACAAGGACAGCTGGTGTTAGGAGCTGGTTAAACTCCAGAATTTCTTTGTAATCTCCGCTAACTTTCAGAAACCAACCTCCAAAACCTGCCAAAACGCCTCCCAAAACCTGAAAGAGTAAAAATCCTAGAATCAATTTGATGCAAATATTTATTACTGTGATGGAGAGGACATGATCTGTACATATGCGAAGAACGTGCAATATAGATATGATCAGCAAATGAGAAGGGGGCGGTAGATGATGTCTACAAGTATTCTTTGCAAAAATTTGACATTTTTTAAATGTGAAACGAAAACCCAACATTTATATTCAGGCTGGAGAGGAGCGGAAGTACCCGTTAGCCCATGTTGAACCATGGCGGAGACCGTGATTTTACACCAGAAGCATGCGGTGCTACGGAGGTGAGGGATGTGACAATGTTCCAAGACTCGTGGATCGGCTTTTTACTCAACAAATTGGGAATAATTTACCGCTATTCGGCAAATCTGGTAGTCGAATAGTGGCATTTCTCTATAAAATGAATTTTCCAACTTAAATATGGGCCTCAGACAACGGGGGTAGGTGGAGCCATGCCCCACACTTTTCTTGTAAAACAGTGGATCTTTTTTGCAAAAATCTTTCGTTAAGGGACTTTTATTTACCCTTGGCCCCCTTTATGTGCCCTTGGCCCCCGTTATGTGCCCTTGGCCCCTGTTAAAAAGCCTTGGCCTTAAACCTATTATCCAGTAGAAATCTTCCGGAGTAGAAATAGAAAGGTCCTGGATCTTGGACCAGTCACTGACACCTACATCTAAATCTTCCTGGTTAAGTCAGCAACCTCAATGCTGCAAGGTTCCTATGACAAAACTCTATTTTCAGTTTTTAGAAGCCATCCTTGAAAATATGACTTATTGTCAACTGCTTTACTTCAGAATTTATTTTCGAATTTATTTTATTATTGACAGGGCCGTCATAATCAAGCTGGTAAGGGGCTTCAGTCCCCAATAATTGTCCAATTGTTTCGTATTTCCAATGGTTTGGCTGCCTATAAGTAATACAATGAACACCCAAACCCCCCCCCCCCCCCTCCCGAATTTGAAATTCGTTACGACGGCACTTGTTAAACGGTTTGAAATTGTTAAATGTTTCAAATTAGGTGTTATGAGTTGGATTTCATCAAAGAGGTACCATCCCTTATCTAAAAACTCTGAGCATACCATTAATAAATGAAATATAAGAACTGAAAGAAGTGTGAAACATATATCCAAGAAATCGATGACCGTCTGTCACCATGGTAGCAACTATTCAAACAAGTGAGACGTCTGCGAGTGAAACCGTCTTCTCTCTCTCCGATTAAACTTTGAACCTAAACCTTAACATCTTGCCTAATCATCGTACCTCGTCACAGCCTATCACCAGAAACGAGAAGACTTGATGACGAGAAACTTTATAACTTTCCATACCCTCCTGTTGTTATTGCTATATTGATAGTCGCTCAAGTTCCTTCAAAGCCATTTTCAGGTACTTCAAGTTTGCGAACGAAACTTTCTAAATAGCTGCCCATAAAACGTTTTATTTCAAGTAACATTGAATCAATACAGATTCTAACTTACACAATAACAATTGCAAAACACCGAATAAGATTTCAAAGGAATTGATCAGCAGTAGTCAACGTATTTCTGATTGCCCCGAATGTTAACTGTCGCTAATACTAATTTAATATACTTTCACAAAACGTACGTTTCGAGCATTAATATGAATTCTAGGTTTACCAAAAAGAAAACTTACTATAAAGAACAAGTTCACAACCATAAGAAAGCATTTTGCCATCGATTTCCCCATCTTTGTAGGTCACGTTTATTCAGCTTTTCTTGGCCTAAGCGATGTTGTCAGTTGCGTATCAACCAATGTCAACCTTTGTGTTGATATCAACGGAAAACATGAGACATGATCCGTCCGTTGAAAATATGAGGTTTAACGTCGATATCAAATTTCTATAATTCTAAAGTTTTGAATTCTTCTGCCAACGTTGTTCACCTAACGACGCCCAATAAACATCTCTTCTTGTCACGGAGGGGTCAATAACAGAATAAGCATTTGTTTGCTCGTAAGAATGACATAATCCATCATTGAAATAAAAGCGGAACTGTGCCACAAAAATAGAACTGTGCTTTTCATTCGGACCATAAAGATATCTTTTCTTTACGATACTGATTTGCATACAATTTTTAAGATAACCGCCGATAGTAAAAGTCTATAACAATTTTTTAACAAAACTTTTATTTTTATCTCTAATTTCTTAACACTTCTCTAATAAACAAATCAGTTTACATTGGATTAATGCGAAAATTAACCAAAATAGTGTTTGAATCTTAAAAAAGAGAGCCACAAAGATAATTTTTGATTTTTTATACCTGCTCTTAACTCTTTGACATCCAGTAATAGACTGGGCTCTAGTGTGCGTCACAAACGGGCAACAGGCACGGCAACAGGCGAGAGACCCATCATCGTCTTCAGCAAAATCCTCGTAATGGTGCTTTTTCAAAGGACCGCCGAGAACGAGGCTAGGCCCCAGGGCAACCAATGCGCGTAGGCCCCTTGCTTGACAAAGAATGTAGACTTGAGAATATCACAACTAATGTAGATTCCACAATAGCGGACCCAAGATTGAGCTCGGCCCCGGGACACTTGCCCCGGATCCCCTCCCATGTCGACGGTCCTTGCTTCATCACTAAAGCCCATGCTTTTCAGTTCGTGAATTCGTCACTTCAAAATGGTCAGAATGTGTATTTTTGCATTGAACTTGCTCACAAAATTGATCTTACTATGAACACATTTTTACGAATTATTTACTTCTGATTTTAGGAATAATTTGTGTGTTTTTATTTCGATCATCTTCAAAGTATTATATATAAGTAAACACATAATTTATTTTTACTATTTTTAACCATTAGTCAATCAGGCTGTTTGGGACGTGATGAAAACGTTTTGCAAGAGTTAAAGATGAATTAAAAAGCAAAATTATTCTTTTACCCGTTATTGTTCACAAATCTTGATAGTATTTGTAGAACAGATTTTGAATTATCTGATTTTTCCAATGCTGTGAAGAAAATTCGGTCGAAACAAACCTTTTGTTACCCTTGGTACAAGACTTATACTCTGGTACCCAGGGTATCCCTTTGTTTGATTAAATATACTGGAAACATTCATTGGTCAATGCTGCCCTTTTCCCTTTCAATTTCATGGTCTCTTCCAATGTAATGATGGCGCTGCAGTTAGATTTGATTTTCTTCCTGGAAATGTAAACTAAGAACAACCAAGATAAAAACAAAATTTGAATCTGATTTGATATATAACGAATAATAGATTGGGATTTCATTAAACTTTGAAAGTCTTCTACATAAATTTAATTATCTTTTCAATCAAATCCGGTTAAGCTCTAAGTAACTATTTCTAATGCTTATTATTTCTACTTTATTTCTGTCGTAACCAGAATCCAGAAAAGTGGTTTGCCTAACAAACAATAAGTAACTTTTTATCTTAGCATGAATTTATGATGTACAGAAAACAGCCTGGTCTGGCATCAAGTAAAAACCAAGTCCTTTTTTGTGTCAGTAATCTCTTGTCCGCGGGACTACCACATTTTCTTGACTCAGTTACCAACACCAAACGCCTTTTTCTATATACATATCTAATTAAATAAGTTTCTAGTACCGTAAAAGTTAAACTCTGAAAAGTGTCGGACGAAAAGTTCTTTAATATGCTCTGTTTCCAGTAATTGTGTGCAATCTTCAACATTGCTAATTAATACTCTTCTGTTTCCATGAATGTGAAAGATCTTGCTAGGGTACTTATAATTTTCAATACAACTGTTAGCAATACCCGCAAGCAGTACTTTCCAAATGACACCTTCCTATTAAGATACTTCGTTTAATTATTTTGAAAAGCTGACTCATTGCTTTCCTTCACATTAACTGTTTACTATATGATTTTTGCAACCTCAGTTTGGTATTTTATCCTTATGCGACCTCAAAAACAGAGATTTTGAATTAGGAAGGATTAAGGGATTAACGTGCCCTCTTCCAAATTAATTCAAGGGCTCTTTCAAGGTTAGTGAATGCCTTTTAAAGGTTGTATTTCTACTTTCAACAGTAACCTTTTAGCAACATCTTTTGGTGCCATGACCATGATAAATTGTTATGTTTCTCAAATTCATTAATGATTCCTATATTTTTGCTTAAAAACATGTCATTTCATACGAGTATTTTTAATGTGTTGGAAAAATCCAGTCTGCAGAGTACGAAATAGCCAGTCAACATACGAACTTTTAAGTTTCTCCTTCGCATCCTAGAATAAGGAGCTGCGCACCCAGAAAAGGATTTTAAACCAAGAAGCTACGTTACACCTGTTCCACCATGATCGTATAGGTGCACGCAAATTAGATTTTGCTTTTGTTAGCATGGGATCCAATCATTGCATTCATGCTTTGCAGACTGTGGAATAACGAGGGCATTCAAGGTTATTTCTCAGGTAGGAATGCCTCCCTACAAAAAATGGGGGTAATTGGGGTTATTCCTAGAATTTATTCCTGATTTCTCTTTTCAGAACGCACATTTATTTGTCTACCTGTTGAATTAAAATCTCTTATCAACTTAGTTGAGATCTTTTCTATGAGTAAGCTAATTTTACATTCTAAGTGTAGAGCTCTAGAACTCGTTTCCAATAGCCTACATAGTCATGGCTTAAATTGAATAAGATTTATTAGTTAAAAATATGGTCTGGTGCCATTTTAACAAATCTGTATTCTAATATATAGATCAACTTTCTCCAATTTTCCCTAAGAGCGTTACCCTGGTAGCTACACAGCCTTTGGCCTAAGCTTGCGTCATTTTATGGCAATGTCTAACGGATCCTAACAGATTCTAGATACATCTCATTTATTTGGTGTACTAAGTCTTAAAAGCCTTGGTTTAGCTTCTGCAGTATTTTCTGTTGACTTGCTCTCAGGTCTGGCTGGAACGATAATACGCGCAACCGCATTGAGAAAAGCAGCTGGCATTGGTTTTGGCTTGTGGTTTCCTTGCGTCATAACTACGCGTTTCAAACGGCTCTTATTAACAAAATGGTCTGGAGTATAATCCAAATCTTCCTCTGCTTTCTTTATCAATCGTGTTGTTATCTGCTGAACCGCCCTTACCTCTCTTTCATGTTGTGTCTCTATGTGGTGCTGCTCCTCAATAATGGTCTGTATTTTAGCTGCGTCAATCTATTTCATAGGTGAAAAATTGAAACCTTGGCATTAGATAAACTATCGCGGCTTTTGTTCCTTTAATTGCTTTTGTTGATTTATCTTACATGATCTTTAACCGAGATATAAATCTTTAACATTCACAACTGGTATTTTTTAATCTTGGGTTTTTCAAAACTACAGTTTTTAACTTTGAGCTTCCCAGAACTAGAGGTATTCCAACCCTTGATGTTTAATTGCTGAGATTTGTAAAAAAGGAGAAGAAAATTGTCATTAAGACAGAGAAATAGAGTGGGAGTTCTAATTAAAATCGAATCAGTGCTTCTGGATGTGAGCTTCCTTACGTATTGATGTTTTATTGACATGTTATGTTATGGAAAATCAAACTCTGAGTGTCACAACATTACTATAATTCTTTTAGCAACTAGCAACTTTAACCAAAATTCCGACATATTTATGAAATGTTTTCGAAGATTTCAAAAGAATCTTTTTTACCTGATTTTGGCCGACTGATAATGAAGATAGGTCACTTCTTCGTGGGTTGAGAATTACTTCTGATATTTCTTCTGGTGTAACTTTGTCCCTGATGACAGAAAGCCCACTGCGCAGGCTCAAATGGCGGGTGTTAACTGATACTGTGGATAAGAAGGGAAACATATCTGTTATGATTCTTCGTATCCAATGGATTTGTATTGTGACTCACTCAAAACGAGTGTCTAGTATTTAACAAAGTAATTGGACAAACAGCTGCAAGTTCTATGATCAGGACTACATTATAATTGAATGCACCTACTTATAAAAATAAAAATTTGAAAAATATCTCAATTTTCATCCAGTCGTGATAGTCACATAATTTAACCTATTTCTGTGAAACACAACATTCAGCGAGCCATCAAAACCTTGTTTGTAGGACTATAATATTCCTCCTGTATCATAGTGACATTTAAAGTTAGTGTGTCGCGTCGTTCATTGGTTTACCAAAAACAAAGAGGGAAATTCTAGGTAATGTAAAACAAATGTAACTTTTGAGAGAGGCTACTAACCGTCAGAGGGAGGCTTAAATAAAAGACTTGATTGATTCAACATAAGGCCTAGAAATTCTAGCTATTTACACTACAGTTACAAAATTTCTCAAAACATTAGAAAGATGGCCTTTTATCGTCAAAAAGAATCTTGTAGCACAAAGCTCAAAGACATGACATTAATGCTGTTTCTGCAAGGTAGAAATATAAATCGTCTCAAAACTTACCAGTGGCTAATATTAGAGTTATTACAAAGGTTATCATGATTCCTTTCTACCTGAAAAAATAACAAACTTTGAATATTTTGCCGCTGTATGTATGCTTCGGTGGTACGGGCATCGTTATTAACATGGAAGAGCAAACAATTCTTGTTGTATTTTCTTAAAAAATGAATCCAGATACTTTCAGTTGATACTAACTGACTGAAGTTGTGAGGCATAGACTGCATGTTGGCATACACAACAGGTTGCATGTTGGTGCAGGCTGCAGTTTGGAGACCTGTAGATTCCCATACTGGGGCAGGCTCGCAGCATCTTGCAACTCTGATCCCTTTTCATCTGAATTTGGCTCATGCCCGTAAACGTCAACGTGTTAGTAGGCCTAGTAGCGTTTTGAGATTTTGTACAGCAGAATAAGTTACGGTTCCATGCCTGTGAGCCAGAGCTAGATTATCTAGCAATGCGGTGCATTCTTTTTTTTTATAAGAACCAGTGAATTTAAGTTCAGGCTGACTGTTCTTAATTTTTTCGAAAATTTGAGGCTGAATTGTTCTTAATTTGTTCTTAAAGTAAGAGGGTGTAAGCAGTGCGAGTGTTAGCTTTTTCGCTCTAAGGAGGTGTTTAGGCCTCATTTTCCAACCAAACAAAGTGAGTGAGACAGCCTTAATTTGCTGACAAATTTAAATATTCACCGAAAAAGCACCCACACATTGCTAAAAATCCTCGATTTTGAGAAAAAAAGTTGTTCAAAGTGCATTTTGCAGATGCTCGGCCTCAGCTTGTTCTTAATTTGTTCTTAACTTTTGACCAGTTTTGAGGTTCGTGTTCTTATAAAATTGTTCTTAAAAAAAGAGTGTAGTTCTGAGAAAGGGCAATGCATAACTAGACACGAGTATATAAAATGAAAGGAATTTACTGTTGCTCTTGAGCTTTACTTTTTTCCCGAAAAGCGTGAAGACCAAAAGATATTTAATTTTACTGAAGGGCACTATTTCCCATGCGTCAACCATACAGGGATAACAAGAGGTTTGGGTGAGCGTTTATGACCGAAAAACCATTGAGAGTTAGCTGATTGGATACGTAACATTAGGCCTATTGTGTATTCCAACGAATGGGAAATTTAAATGGCCAGCGAAATTTGTCGGGACATAATGCCTTTAAATTCAAAAGGACACTGGGTACCAGAGTCACATAAATTTGCCCGCGGAATTTTCCATTTCTGCGCTAGAAATTTTGTGACTATGGTACCCAGGGTAATTCGAAGGCTGAAGGAGAATTTTGAGGAGAGTAAAAAGGGCAAGATATCATCCAGGGAAGGTTAAAGCGTTTTCTGACTTTGTTTACTTGCTTTAATATAGGTGAACAGAATTTTCCCAAATTTAATCAAAACCATGCTTTCTTTCTAGTTTAAGGTAAAATTTTTAGGAAGGTTCGAAGTTGCACTTTCTCTGCCACTGAGAGAGTTATTAAAATTTAAATCGAGGTTAATTAGCAGGTACGACTGTAAAGTGAAAAGCTTGCTCGGAAAACATCAGTCATTATTCTTCAAATTATGAAAGAATATTTACAAGAAATCAAGGTGAAGGCAAGAACAAACTTCTCTCTCTTCCACACAAATTTCGTCTATATGCAAAATTGCATCTACAAGCGAATCAGGACTAAAAAATTGAATTAAAAGCAGATTAATTTTTAATTTGTTATGTGAAACCAATAGATCGAGAAAAATTGAACGACACAAATAGGAAATTAAGTTTTCTTCACCTTTTTCTCTTCTCAGCATCTGTTTCCTCCTGCCATTTGAAGGTTCCAGAAAAACAGATGCTATATTCTTTGCTTGATTATATCATGTTATCTAGCTTTGCCACTTGTCATCTCCATGGACAAGGCTTTGCTATCTTTGCTTTTACACTTACCCACCACACATGGTTGATCTGGACGGGTACTTTTCGTTGTCTGGCGATTTTTTCAAAACAATCGTTCTGTCTCGACCACTAGCTGTCTGCGAGTAACTGTGCTGGCCTGCGGGAAATCGCATGGACACGCGTTTTGTGAACATCTTTGTTTGCTAGACGATTTTGTTGCATTATTGGTAAGACAGCACTTGCCATCAAACAAAGTTGTTTATTTTGAGTATGAAGTAACTGACTTAGCCATTGAATATCAAAAAGCATTAATAAGCTGCCCAGGAAAGGCAATCTATTTGGAATGCGTGATTTATGGTCCGTTCACTGAAGACTGAAGCAGTCCATGCTTTTCGCCAAATTTTATCCAAAATTGGACGAGGTAAACTAGGCTTATAACTTGTACTGACAGGGGAACATTGGGAAGTAAATGGGAGCACAATTTGAGTGCACTTTTACCACACTTTCTTTAGCTTGGCTACGCCTATTTATCGTTAGGATCCCCTCTCACAAACTGACAGTAATAATCAAAAATATTTCTGTACAGCAATCTAAAATTAAAAAAAGGAGAGAAAAAGAATTAGAAGGGATAATTTTAATTCTGAGAAAGCACTGTTTTATTTTCTTGACGATGGACACCGTTAGATGACCGAAAACGTTCCAACCTTATTTTGATGAAAACCTATAATTCCGCAAACATGATGAAAACTATACCCATAATTCCACAAAGCAAAAAATTTTTTTTAGGACAAAAAAATCATCAAACAATTTTTGCATGTCCTTTGCTCCAAAATCTTAATATAACACATGTTTCGTACTTCCATTTCTAACTAGACATTCATTTGGTTAATGCTAAACCTCCCTCCTAATAATTTTGCAATATTTTCCCAAAATGGTACCCAAAATACCGTATGTTTCTTCAAATGGTACCCATAGTTCCACACATATTTCAAAAAATGATACCGATAATTCCGCATTTTTCAGAGAAAAGGCAAACCTAAATAATGGCACATCCCCGTACCCTGAAGTACCCCCGACGTTTCTGAATTTTAGATAAAACGTGGTCACAAAAAGCAAATTTACCCTGTCTCGTTTTGAGAGGCCGGCGCCCTTCGCCGAACCTTAAAAAGAGGCTTCATTTCCTGCTCAAATGTGCCCACTGGCCTAACCATAATCGTTACTAAAAAATCAACAAAATTTGACTCACTTATTGCGACAACAGCTCGCAGAAGCAAGATCGTCTCCAGTGAAATTAAGCATGGGAGAGCAACTTCTTTGGGCCACAAAGAATGGCGACATGGAACTGCTGAAAGATTTGGTTGAGAAACAGGTAATAACATCACAGAAAGAAGAGCCATTTTGGCCAAGCAAAGAAAACCAACTGACGACTCAAACGACTCTCTTTTAGATCATTTTTCAGTTTCGCACACATATTTCATGTTTCAGTGATTTAATTGCTTTAGAAAACTGGTGCTTTTATTTTATTGTATCTGTCATTTCTAGACTAAACATTTTCATAATATGATCGATGTTTTTCAAATGTAATGTATTGTTACTGTTGTCACGTTGTTCTTTGTTTATTAGTCGCACGAGGATAAATGAAAGTGGTTTATTTTTTACAGAATGTAAGTATCAATACAGAACTGCTTAATGGAAGGATGGCAATACATTATGCAGCTGATTACGGCCAGTTGGAAGTTATTGAATACCTGGTGTCAAAAGGAGCAGATATGAATGTGAGTATAATACAATCAGGTCTGCTGTATATGGCCGATGCACACACTAGGTCAGTGTAGTGCCAGAATGGAAACTTTTCATGCACCCTCAATGTATTGCCCATGCACTCAAATTTTCCATCTGCATGCTTTTGCACATTGGTTGTACAAAGTCCCTCTTTGATAACATTTTACATTATTACCACTACAAATGTCAAAATGCATGTGATTGACTTCAGGCATGCAGTATCAATTTTCAAAATGAACTTGTCTGCATAAGAAACAAAGTTTCCAGTCAGAGTATAGTGCTGCACACAAAAATTTGAGATTAAACACTAAATTTAGTATAGCAATATAAAATAACTGCTTAGTGCATACCATTTGAATAGCAAAATGGAAAACATGACTGAAATGACTATACCAGGTTGGAAAATGTGTATGATTTTGCTGACTTGTCACTGTAACCAATAGTACATTATCAGCTATGACCTGTGAGCAGAAGTATTTGAGCTGCATGCAATGATGCCTGTATAAACGTTACCATTGTAAAGTATACATGAATGCAGACTGAAAACCCAGACTGAAAACTTAAATATCATATGTTGTTTTTAAAGATAAGATGGCAGCTGGTTGCAAACTTAGTTTTTTGTGATTGATGCAATAGCTAAGACACCTAGCAATTGATACTTTGTTGCTTTTGATGGACATGTTATTCAATTGACAGGTGTCTTGACCATTGTATCAATCACATTAACTCATCCATTACGGTTGAGGAATGTGCCTTAAGTGCCACATGTCAGCGAATCATAGCCTGGATTTTGTTAGTATATGAGGTACCTAAGCTGCTTGACCTTAGGCAATATGATTCATAACAACATTGATGATATTACGTATCTTCTCTATAAAGTATTATACCAGCTGCTTATGATGTAATTTTTTTCAAAAAACTTCATAATCAGGATTATGCTTGGTGCCTACTTTTAGAATCATAGATTATTTATATTGATGTCTGTTTTTGCAGCAAGCTGACAAACATGGCATTACTCCATTACTTGCAGCAATTTTTGAAGGACATACCAGCTGTGTTAAATTCTTCTTGTCAAAGGTAAATCTCATTAAAATATCGTGATGTATTCTTACACTTGGTATGGTGGTTTTACTAGCAGCAGGTTTGCCTCATGTTGCAGTTCTTCACTCTGATATCAGTTCACTCTGCCAGCAAGCATCGATTGTGAGATATTGTTGATTGTTAATATTCTGTGTTGTTCTCTTTGTCAACTGACAGAATGATAATTTGTGAGACAATAGAAAGCAGCTGGATGTTTTCATGTGAGAAGTGTTTTCAGGATGCTTCAAAAATTGATCAACTTTTAAACAATTTGGCTTTGTAACTGTCATATATCTTTAAAACCAAATGTACTATTAGCAAATAAATTTAGTCTTTTATATTTGATGCTAAATTTGCTTGCTTTTTTAAGCAGCTTTCTTCTGTTCCTGAAATATTATCCATCCATTTTGTACCACAATAGAATTATTTCTAGTTTCTACTCCTGTAGTTATCTGGCTGTAACATCTTTTACCATCATCAAAAAAAAGTAGTTTCATATCTTGCTCGTACTGACAATACTTATGTCAGTTTACTTAAAATGCAATAGCTCACAAAACAAAAGTTCCGCCAAATTTTTTCTGGATTTGGAAATATTTTAAAAAGTGAACTGCAAATTTTTAGAATGATAAAGCAAGGCAATTCCAAATTGCTGCCAACAAGTGCTTTTACCTCAAATATGCCTAAATTTGAGAATATGATGCCTCAGCTAATATTGTAGAAATTGATGTGAAGTTCTGTGGAATTTTAATTCACAACAATATTAATCTCCAAAATGAAGTGGGCAAACTCTGCGAGCTGATTTGGGTCAAGTTGAAATGATATAGATTGGCAATTTTGCCAATGGATTAGTAGTTTTGGCCTGGCTCTTAGGTTTCAGAACCGTAACAACATTTCGATTTTATGAAGAAAGGACCTGTACTAACTTGGGCATATTTCAGCCAATTTATAACAAATTTGGCTAATTTTGCACATTTTAAGGTATTTGATAATGCTTTTTCAGGTAATTTGGTGCAAAAAATATGTGTTGTGATGTTGTCATTTTGAAATCTTTTTTTTAAACATTTGTTTTAAGTTCAAATAACTGATATTTCATTAGACATTCAGTGAATTAGAAGAATTGAGTTTCAATTTTTAGGGTGCAAATAAAAATGGAAAAGCTCCAGATGGCTCATCATATTATGATGTTGCTGAAACAGATGAAATAAAAGCGCTTTTAAAATAAATTCCATCTGATGTGTGGGTAAGTGACTCTAAGACTTTGTTGTGTGTCAACAATTTGATATTTGAAGTTGAAGTTTTTGGGCAATTATGACATTGTTAGAGTTTAACTCAAACTATTGGTCTAATAAATTGTCTATTTTTAAACATCATTAATAGATTTAACACTAAACTATTTATTTCTAAACAAAGAGACATGCTATTTGAAAAAATTAAATACTGTAAGAACTACAACCTTATTCCTTTTTGTAGCTTTCTTTTGATTTTGGTTGCTAGAAAGGCTGTTAGTTGGTTGGTGTATACAGTTTTCATAAAGACAAGCTTTGTTTCTATGCAGAAACTTTACCCTTAGGCTAAGATAATTTTTTTCAAGCAACTCCAGTACCAGAGGGGCAAATCACTCTAAGAAAATCTCATAGACCTTTTGTGAAATTCTATTGTTTTATCTGAAAATCCCTAGAAATCCTTTTGTTTTAGGGAAAATCTCGTACACTATGTATTTGCAAGAGTGAATTGTCCCTCACAATACCTTTTCTTCAAGCCTCCCGACTGGCAACTTTTAGACTTATTACTTCATATTATTATCCCCAAATAATAGTTCATACTTCTGCAAGCTGTGCTATTGCCTCCTTGCTCAGTATCATTACGAAGCAAGATTATCTTACTTTTCATTATCGTATCTCACTTGCAGATAACTGAATAGGCAATGATGGCAAGAAATCCAGCAAAGTGTATGTATCTCCTCAGTATCTAATGAAACCCTGGTGCATAATACCCTCCATTTTTTATAAATTTCGTATATTTTAGTATCTATTAGGCTATAAAATGTGCATGGATATGTCATTTGTAATTTTCATCTTTAAAATCAAATCTTAGTTAATTCTACTAAAAGGGGAGTCTTTTTTTCTTGTGTATTCTTTAATGTCATTGTTAATTAAGAAGTTGGCCATTTCCATGGTCTGCCATTAAATCATGAGCACATTCTCTTTCCATATCAATCCTTGTCTACTTGCTACCAAAATCTAAGAGTTAGGCCCAAACAACAACAAAAAATCGTTAACAAAACTCGATTCTTTCACTTGCTATATCCCATTCTATTTGCAATAACTTTTAAATTATTTGGCCTGTGTAAAGGAATTTCATGATTTGTTGATAAGGTCGACAACTAAGTCAGAACTTAACAATTCTACAACTATCTTTTATGATACTATACTTAAGAAACGTATTTTAGGACACCCAAAGGATGCATCGTTGTTCTTAGCTCTCTAACTATTTTTGCTAGACTTTAACGGACTTAGGAAAAGCCATTCGAATTCAGTGAACTTTGTTTTTTGCTAAAAAGTTTTGAAATAGAGTAATCTGGTGTCAAGGATTTTTCCTAGGCCATCAAAATGCCTTTAGTTTTCTAACGTTTTCCTTAATGATGTCAAGAAGGTGTTTTTTCCAAATAGATGTTATGTTTTGTTGAAATATTGGTCATAGAAAAGGCTATTTCGACACAATTCTGATTCGAATATCGTGACTCTCGCGTGTTATCAATGAAATACGACTTCCATTGACGTCATCAGGCCAGGATACAGCAAGGATAAGAGCATGCCTTGCTTTCAACTGAAAATGCCTTGGAATATACACACGACGTTTGTATAGCCTTATCAAGTAATTTGCTAGGAGTCCATTAGTAGTAAGACATAATTACTTCCTGAAAGGAAATTAAAGCTATTCTTCATATTAGTAAATATGATAGTAGCGGCCTGATAAAATGGGGTTCGTAAAGCCCTAATTTGGATTTAGGAGAATAGGGCTAGTGAGTCCTTTTATGACGTCATATCAGCATTTAATCGCAATAACACAGTAGATTGAAGAAAAAGAAATCAAAAATCTGGCTATGCTAATAAGGTAGTTTCTTTGTAGAAATGTTGCATTGGAAACCTCCTGATACCTTTCTAGCCAGGTAGCTAAGCGCGGGGAGCTGCCATTACCTATTTATTTCTTTGCTAGATCTATTGTTTATGAAATTTGTTGAAGTAAGTGACCCAGCAGCAGAAAAAAACTGCGAAAAAACCCATAACTGATTTTTCAACGAATTGTCTTTTATCTTTACATGTTAACGTAAAGTTGCGTAAGCCATCTTGAGCCCCTGTCCATCACAGCCAGCGAGGAGCAAATCACTTAAAAAAATCTCGTATACGCCTGCGGCAAAAATTATTTTATATTCAGGTAACTTGGTACCTTTATTGAGTTTGAAAACCACAATTGAAACAGCACATATACACGATCATAATTGTTTTTCTTAGAATGTTCGCTGCCTTTCGGCAGCCTCAGTAAGAATTGAGTGATATCCTTGCGTTCTTCTGAAGTTCGTTAGGCAGAAGTTCGATAGATTAATGGGTCCAACTTGGTTCGTTTGTCGCGTAGAGCATTTGAATGTTCTCATTTAATTCCGGGTTTAGTTCTTTAATAAATACGGCCTCTGTTACCTGTCTTACCATCGCATCATTGCCGCAAGACGAAAATATTTTAATTGTATATTTGTGTCTTCTCGCCTTGGTTTTCTTTCACGTGCTCGTGAAAAATTGAAGTTTAATCTTTTGCCTTATACTTCGTTAAATATCCGTTTATTCTTTCTTATGCTTCTCGCCGTTTCACTAAAATATAACCCTCTATTGTTTAAATTTCACCAAAATACAAATGACCAAGAAATTATTTTGTTTTCGAAGCAAATCTCCTAGAAATCCTACTGTTCTAAGATATCTGGTACACTGTTAGAATTGAGCGATACACAAACACCCCTCGGATGTCAATATACTTCTTATATATTTTGGAAATTTACTGAATTTGTAGCTCTGTATCCCCGTTGGTGTGTCAAACAGTATGCAATGGCATTATCCCCAATCAGAAGCAGAGAGCAAATTATATTTCAAACGTTTTCATTCGGGAAGGGTAGTTGCATAAATAAAGTGTACTTCTGCTTTAACCTCACAGTAATAACACTAAATTTTATTTACATTGTCCAGTTCGCGAAATTATAAGTATTTTTTCCAAATTTATAGTATAAGGCAATAGAAATTTCATTAAAATTTTTAGGTCCGATTGTTCTGATAAATGTCATGTAATTTTATAAATGTAATTTTGCAAGCTTAAAAGGGTTCTGAGCCTTTTAACAGCATTTAAAAATTTTATAAAGAATAGACTTTACATTAGATCCTTGCGTTTTTCGCAATGTAGAGTTATATTCACGTTGACCCTCTAATTAGAACACCCGACCCGGCCATTCGGTCGATTACGACTTCATCATTATTTATGATATATGGTCGTTATCTTTGGCTATATGCATGCCGCGGCGTCAAACCATGACAATTAGCAGTATAAAAGGCGTTCCTCAGTTGATAGTGGCATTTCTGCTGATGAATTTGGTCAACCGTTTCATTATTTTGAATGCGTATGCAGGAGTTCGCGGTGAATCACAAGGTGAAAAGTTAGAAGCCAGAAGTGAAAGGATAAAGTCGCAGGAGGTCAAGAGCGCATCTCAGATCAGGTCAAAGGCCAACTGCTTTTAGTACATTGTTTGCGAGTGTTACGTATAAGGGGGAACTTTTGTAATTTTGTGAAAGATGGATGCCTTTTTAAATCCAACGATTTCAAATGACTGCAAAAATCACTGGAAGTCAAGCACTCCAAATTCAGTTGTGAAAGTCATGTGTTCCAAAGTGAAGTCGCGTGTAACAAGAAAAGGAAAAAGACACGACGCAAGAAAAATGGAGATAAAGACCACCAACGTTGGCGAAGATGCTATCGTTGAAAAGAACGGTAAACTTATTTTGAGACATGGCAGTTTCCATGAGTCGAAGCCGCGTCGAGTTTCGCGTTATGAAAATGTTTCGTATCAAACTCTAGTGTCATTGACCAAAGATGTTGTACCTATGATATCTGGGAACAGTTGTGTTTCACACGACAGTATTTCTGATACGACTTCCATCATTGACGAGAAGTTTACTACAGGAAAAGGTAATACCTCTGAAACGGTGTCTGGTTTCCTTGACGACGAACTACCGCAATTTAGGCGGGAAAGACGTGGCGCCATTGCAGAGGTCTCGCGAAAAGACAGGGAAAACATCGTAAAGGAATTGCAAAAGCGCGCATTGGCAAGAAGTTTGTCGTCTGGCGGTTTGCTTCGCTCCTAAAAATGAGTAGAAACGTTTGTATAGCTTAACAGCTACAACACAAATTTGGACTCGAGTAGTGGAAAGTTTAGATAATTGTTGTCAAGGTAATTGTTGATCTAGCGTAAAGTTTTGGAATAGTTTGATGCCGATAATGATGGCCTAATTGTCAGTTTTTGGGTGTACTTCGTGTTCAGCTGATGTTGCATTTGATATTAAACATGGTTTATATGCAGCATCTCCTGAACACAAAGACTTCACTCCATAACCACTAAATAACCACTCCCAAACACTTTTCGCGAGTACATGGCATAGATGGCTTTCGCCTTTTTTACCGGATAACCAAATAAATAAATGCATATGTTTGCAACAACACCCGTAATCTGTGTTATTTATAAGCTATTGAGTTAAATCTACAAAATTTCATCGAATATTTGCCTAATTGAAGGCCCTTTTTACTTTGAAATTAAGCAGTAACATTTTTGTCAAGTGCAAGCTCCACAGCCATTATGCAGGAGCTGTCTCCCCCTCCCCCAATTCCTAGATCCCTGCTCCATATTGTTATTGTTGTTTAATAAGTAAGTTCTGCTGTAAATTTTGTATCATATAATAAATTACTGAATGTTCATAGAACTTTGATTTGTTGAGGAATGTTCATTTGTTTTCGTCTTAACTTCATAGCAATCAGCGTACATAGAAACTATTTGTGTAAATTTCATTTGATGACATGTTAAAAGAAATTCCAAAGAATTTAAAGTTGAAGTGCAATCAAGCATTCGGATATTGTTAAGTTTTAAGGGGCATATCATTCCATAACCACTCCTAAATGTACTCATTCTTCATGCATAAAAATCTCACATAAAATCAATTCCTTTTCTAGGAAAGTTCCCCAAAATCCCTAAGAATTCTATTTCTCTAGAATGATTCTTGCGCAGTTTGGAAAGAGTGCTACACTTCTCGTAGGAAATACAGTAATACTGGCATTTGTTGATTCTTCTAATGTCCCGGTTTCTTGGCTCAATATAAAAGTACGAAACCTTTATCGACACATTTCCAGAATCAGGAAACCACAATTGTCAGTTGATTTTCCTTGATGTATGCAGAAGAATTAAGTATGCCGTGCCTGAAAACCCATTTATAATTCCAAATAAAGAAGGTCCCTAGAACTTGCATCCTTGTATGATACTAACATGTAAAAATCGTTTCTTTGTTTGCACGTTCGTATGTATCAAGGCTCAACATATTCTGTTCGCAGTAACGTAGATAAAGGGGGTTAGTGGGGGCGAGACCCCCCTCTATAGAGCCAAACTTCTATTTTGTCGGAAGTCTTCTAATCTTGTTGGAAGTTTAACTTAGTTTCTATTTTATCTTAAGTATTGCATGTTGCGAGAAAAAATTTTAAAGCTGAATATAATGACCTCCTCCGTTTTTCTAAATCAGAGGAAATTTCTTTCAATAAGTTATGATATTAAAAAATGCTTTTTTCGAGGAGAAGACAAAAAAGATTATCCATTCGTGTGATTCATGACTTTGACTTTGAATAAACAATAAGACTTGCTACTTGTTTAATTTCAATTTTGATGTCGTTATGCTATGTTCAAATACAGGAATAACTAAAAATCTTTTTAGATTTTTGTCGGAATTCTCGCCCCTCGTATGAATTTTCCTATCTACGCCATTGTCTGTTCGGATGAATTCTTCATCAAAATTTTCCAGGTATTTACCTTCATTGACAAATTTTACAGTAAAGATGTAAAAAGCTACAGATTTTTTGTCAACAAATTTGCATGTTATTTTGCGTGTGCTAGAGTCCATTCTGAGTCTAATGATTCAAAGTGATTTTTGCTAACAACCCAACTTCTTACACAAAAGTGGAATATATTAAGCCAAGATGGAAATATAAGCTTCTAAAGTCATTTTATCGTGGAGGACAAAAAAAATTCACTTCATGTACCTGGGTCATACCATTAACAGAAAAATGTCAATTGAATTGAATTATAAGATATATTTTCAAAATTAGAAAGAGAGCGATTATCCTAATCCTACTTCCAAGCAAGATTATAATTGTCCTGGTTTTTTCCTCGACAGAAAGGTCAGCTAGTAAATTTTGAAATAAAATTCCGTCAAATACTAATCAAGTTAACCTCAATTCGGATTAGGTTTCCAAACGGTAAATCTACAGATGTATTAGCTAGTTAAAATAGCTGGAATTTGTCTCTTTCTTCTCAAACCTTCCTATAGCGTAATTGTGTTTGGATTTCTCCTGTTATGGAAGTATATTGTGCTCTGCCCATCAAAGACAATACTAGCTGTTGGGTGTGGAGAAACTCCGTAAGAAAGGATATCAATCTGCCTGCTCAACTTGATTGCAGACTGGGTGCTGTTTGGCGTGCATCTCGACAAAGCTCCATCTAAAATCTTTTTGGAAAGGTATCAAACTTTTGATCTCTTATAACCTTATACACCTTGTTTATTCATGGAATTATAAGTTTTTATTAGTTTATCTTTCGTTTTTCTCTGGATTTCTAGCACAGGTGTGACTTCAAGTCTTCTACCTATGTTTATATTTTCAAAGGTGAAGCCTGTGTTTGAGATACATAATTCTGAATTCATTATAACTTATACTTTATAGGTTTTGTACATTTTAAATCATTATAAGACCGTGCCTTGATTCCAAGGGGGGATCAGATTTGTGTGTCCCCCAGTTGATCTGTCGAGAACCTAGTTGTCTTTCGAGTTTGCAAAATCCGCCTAAAGGTTTAGAAAACGTCTACCATAAGTGGCTTTTACCCCTTGCCTAGCCAAAACTAATTCGCAATCGTACAAATGCATGCTTAGAGCAGAAGATAAGTTTGAGGAGAAGAAAATAACGATGATTCCACAAAAATGCACTAAGCAAAACAGACTCAGTTAAACATTCTATAGCAGCTGCAGTCAGTGTGCAAGCATTGTTTTCAAAATATTGTTATTTACATGTTGGCTCCATATGAATTAAGCAATGAAGTTTTGTGGCTCCGCCTACAACCCGTGTTACTTTGTTTAAACACTTTAAGGCCATTATATCATTAAAGTATGTTATTTATAAATGAGAATCTCGACCATTTTTGTCAGGGGTTGAAGATATATACATGAGTAAAAAAAGCTAACCAGAAAGTCTGTAGGTGCTTTTTTGGGACAACACTTAAACTGCAACATTACGAAGCAGCATCAACCTTGTTTCTCTCAAAACTATGTTCCTTCCTAGAAAACTTTCCTTCGACTTGCCTTTTTTAGATTTTCATTGCTACATTCAATGCATAAGATAAAATGATCCTGCTTTGTAAAAAGACATTATTTTTTTAAGATTTTAGATGAAAATAGATGGTATAGTTTACGGCAAACTTCGATTTTGCATATTCACAACCTCTCCCCCTGCACACAAATAAACAAAAGAAACAGAGTAAAGGAAACCTATCATCCGTTTTCCAAGCAAAGGTTTTGTTCGGGGGGGGGGGGGGATCTTTCTAGTTTCAATAGGAAATTGGTTTGTTTATGTTCGCTTTATCCACGAAATTTACAACCATTTTGCCATGGGCAACATATATTACAGCTTCTTCCCCGCTTACTGTGCTACGCAGGGGCTCCTGTGAATGATCTCCGGCTGCGTGTTCACGGGAAAAAAGATGTTGATCATGGAGGCTCACAACGTTGTCACTGAAATATAATATCATTGAAGCGCTAATACCTTAATACCGTTTTATTTCATAGCATGAAGGGATAATGCCTTTCACTGCAGCCATATTAGTTCCATTTCTTCACCTACTTAGAGACACCTGTGTGTTTGACACTGGGCATTAGCGTGTTTGCGGAAGCCCAGTACCGCAAAGGAGCACCACGCCTACGGATTATCAGATAGAAATGAAAAGCTCTTCAATGGATCTGAGAAAAGGAGAAAAAGGCAGGGTATAACAATTGCTAACGGAGCTAAGCTAGCATGCTAGTTGAATCCCTGCGTTCTGCTCTTAAGGCTTGCTCCGTTCTTTAATCTCTTGACAGAGTCGTCAAGTAAGCTAGCCTGCTTGTGCCTCAAAATGTCCTTATTTTGTCAAGGAACTCCGACGACCTTTAAGACAGCGGACTAGTTCTCTGAAAAGAATGGGGGGTTATGCTATTGCAAAATGTCTCAGAATCAACCTTATAGCCTTTATGCATTGAAAAAGTTTGTTAGACATCGTTAGACATCGGAATCAGATTTGTCCATGCATTGTACACATTTTGTGCAGAACTTCTAAAGCCTGATTCTCTTTGCATGCATCTGTTTTCTATGTTGGATCCAGTGGCGATGCCAAGTGGTGGTTTGCTATTACCACCCTCCCCCCCCCCCCCCCCCCACTTTTCTGAAAACATGTTTTACCTATTTCTTTTAAGAAAGGATTAAAAAGTGCTGGGTATGAGTAGATAAAATTTACTAAGGAAAGTTAACCTGGCACAAAGCACCGAAACGACACAAAAGGGACGTGGTCTCACTGACCACGCCCATTACCCTCCCACTCTGTAATAGCTGGCACCGCCACTGGTTGGATCCTTGCTTGGCAACCTGGGTTTTTACCCTATTTCCAATAACATGTCATGCACAACCCCCAGTCTTGGGTCTTCATCCAAAAAACTTCCATCTTTACACAATGTCGACTATACTTTGTTGAGAAGATTTTTTAGAACCGTACCCAGTGATTCATTTTAGAAATGTATGTTAAAAGGTATTCTAGGTTAAGGCAATCTTTGCAATCTTTGCGGTTGGAAATAAGCTTGAACTTTTTTTTGCAGATGGCATCGAAGTGTCAGCGTTGTGGAAAGTCTGTTTACCAGGCGGAAGAAAGGATAGGCGCAGGCGCAAAATGGCATCGGCATTGCTTCACTTGCAAGGACTGCAACAAGAGTTTAGATAGCAATACTGTTCGTGAGAGAAAAGAGTCTCGTACGTAAATCACTCCGTTTGATTAATTTGGATTGCCTGTTGCAACCCCTCGGCTGCAAGAAACTGATGCACCAAACCCATTTTCTAAAAGTATGCACCTCTACACAAGGGTGGAAATTATATTCTTGAGCACGCAATTGTCCTTATTAGAGACTGCCATAGGCTGTATTTGATCCTAGTTTATAACTGCTCCGATAAGCAAGAGAAATAGCTATTAATGTTTTACCTTATAACTCTCTAACCTCACGTAAACCTTTCCGCATAAAACGTCATGATTAGAGACGTTACGAGCTACAACTCATGTTGCGGTACACAAAATGGCATAATTTTGCATAAATTTCAGAAAGGGCTGAAGCGACAACGATCGCTTTTAGATCCATCCATTTTAAGAAAGGCGTATTCTAGAAGTCACCAATTTGGATGGAGTACCGATAGAACAAAAGTATAGTAAAAGAATCGCAAAGGCAATTAAGATCCGGGTCGCATTTACAGTAGCCAGTCTCGATCCTCTGCTGGGAAACGAAACAAAAATACCTTTCTCATCATCAAGCATTTTACCTACTCAGTTTTATACTTACGTGAGTTTGTAATGAGACACTGTTTTCCTTAGCAAACTTTGTCTCGCCTTAAACTACTGTCCTCTCTATGTTGATAGGCCCTAACATATTCGGTTTCCCTTGCAGAGGAAATTTACTGCGCATCTTGCTATGGCAAAAACTTTGGACCCAAAGGCTATGGTTTTGGCGGAGGAGCTGGCACTTTAAGCATGGATGCAGGCAAGGATGCGACCGGCCAAAAATGGGCCAAAAGCAATGTTCCCTCCAACCCAAGTGCAGGAGGAACCAGTTCAGTTGGAGGTGGGCCCAAATGCCCGAGATGTGGCAAAACTGTGTATGAAGCTGAAAAGGTTGTCGGAGCTGGCGAGGTACAAATAAACATGTTTATAGGAGCTGTTAAACATATTAGAAGGCGTCTGTGAATTCATAGTTTTGAAGGATTTAAATAGCGGAAGGGTCTGAAACTAGCTTCATACAGGCCTATTTTGCATTGCGTTGGACTGATATGGTCGATTATTCAAACGATCATTTGAAGATTCTTTTGAGATAAAACTAAAACAGAAAAAATTGTTTCTGCTTTTTAATATCATAGACATTTTGATATCAAAGCAATCACGCTAAATAGATATACCAAATGCGTGTCGCACAAAGTCTTGACAACAGGCCATGTTCGAACGTCATCCATAGAATAGTCTCTTTCTTCGTATAAATTTATTATAAATTCAAAATTGCATTAAGATAAAATCGTTGTCTCGAATAATCATCCTAAAAGCAATTTTAATATTAAGACATATCAAAGGTAAGTATCGAGGCAAGAACCGCGACTATTTGTTATCATACAGGCAAATCTTCATTCGATGTGACCATACCAAAACACACTTCAAGCGGATCTGCTAGGATCATTTCGATTTCACTAAAAAGCTTTCATATTAATCCCATTGCTAGAGACATGGGTTGGGCAGTCAAAGAAAGGATCATCGGTTTTTCAAAGAATGTTCTCAAGCTTTGAGTTACATTGCAATAGTTTGAGACGAGACATCATTTATTAGTGCCACTTTCAGGCGATGCCCTTAAAGAACTTGATTATTCATACAGGAACGTAAAATTGACGGACCTTTTTTGGGGGGGGGGAGAGGGGCTGAATTAAACGAACTTCCAACTCGTAATAAGCTAATCGTATTTTTCTACTAGAATTGTACTAGAAGCTTTTGCTCAAAGAACGTTAAAATTATTTCGTGAATACTTTTGTTATAAAATTCCTTTAATGACAACGACTTCGATGTGTTTTCTTCAGGTTTTGGAGATGAAGTATAACATTAATTTTTTTACAATTCAATATAATTTTCTTATATAAAGGTGCATTCATGACTACCTATATTGTCCGATAACTTGCAGATTTTCCTACCTTTTCAAATATATTTAAAGACTCGGGGTGTTACACCCCCCCCCCCCTCCCCTCGACTCATATGATAACGATGTTTGTAGTTTTTGTTATGCGCCCTAACATGCAATGTATAAAGGGGTCTATCTTGGTCATTTTAATAACACAAGTAGTTTGCTACCAAAGTAATTTTGAAACAAAGTTGCTAGTTCGTATCATTTTTTGTGTCTAGGCTAATACAGTCTTATTGTATGCTGAGGCTTGTTTTATACAATATGCAAATATTAAAGTTATATCAAGATAATAGATATTGTGTATTAATAAATTTTGATGTGATTATAATCATCATATTTTCGACATTCACTACCAAAACTAGGACACTGAAGTACCTAAGGCAATTTTTTTGCAGTGATAGGTTTTTAAATCTTTTACAACGGCCAATTTGCTTCCTTTTAATTCAAGGTTTTGTTTTTCAAAGGCATGGCACAAAATGTGTTTCACATGCAAGGACTGTAACAAACGCCTTGATTCAACTACCTGTACTGACAGAGATGGAGAAATCTATTGCAAAGGTACCGTGTAAATCCCTTCACTAATCTTTTTTTCTCATAAGAGCGCACTTTAATCAGGGCCTCCGAGAGGGGGCAATATGGGGCAACTTGCTCCAGGGCACCGAGTTCTGCGGGCATAATAAGGTAATGAATTCCATTTTAAGGAACCAAAGGTATTTTTATTAGCAAAGGTATTACAAGCTTATTTACATTAAGTTAAGCTATTTAAGTTAGCAAAAGTATGCTTGAAAAGAATAAAACAAATTTTTCAATTGCAAGTAATGACTGCAAGACTATTCTGAAATGCATTTTAAGCTAAACTGAAGGGCCTGGCCTACTGTTTCAGTTTTGCTCCAGGGCTTTCGAGACCTCTCGATGACCCTGACTTTAATATCTGGGTCTTATCAAAAAGAGTTTAGTAGGAATACCTTATTTATTAGCTCTATTCATTTGCTGAAAAATTTACGTTCGACCTGCGAAGACTATTAGTAATGTGTCGTGAATAGGCTTTGCTTCTAGCTGGAGGGGAAAACCATTATTTAGAAGTCTTGTACGCCTTTGGTGGAAATCCTTTAGCTTTAATAGAAAATCCATAGAAATCCCTTTGAATTTCGTTTAAATCTCGTACGTTTATTGCAAGAGTGAATTTCCCTTCGTTTGAGTTAATGTATTTTACGGGTACTCGGCTTTGGTGTGCTCATCAGAACGATCCTACTCCGAATTGCACTGTAATATCAACACCAGGCATTATACTGCATCCTAAAGAGGGGTAGTTTCTTTCCCCCACCCTATCCCCTTAGCTTCCACGAGCCATTGAAACCCCTCTGGGCCCTTCAGTCCAGCCCCCTAGCCCTACAAAACTGGCTTTTTGCTTAGTTCATCATGATGGCCTGAGTTTTAGATGCAGGGACGGAATTACTGGGGAGTGTGGGGGATGTGACAGATCCTCCATATGTATGTTTGTACTTTTTGATAAACCTTGTTTCAACTGTAATAAGCATTTATGGAAGTCATTGATAACAAAATCATGCAGAAAAGTTGCTTTATTATTATTTATCTTCTTCGATTAGTTTTATTAAGAATAAAAACAGAATTTTAAAAATAGGTGTTTACATTAGTTTTCAATCATCAAGAGTGTGGCTCATAATCCAATCATTATCTAGCACCCCCCCCCCCTTCCCGCCATCTTTGCCGCTTAAATCCATCCCTGTTTAACTTAGTGACCACTCAAAAAGCCAACGAGTTCTGAAATATTGAGCCTTTCTCTTTATAGGGTGCTATGGTAAGAATTTCGGACCAAAAGGTTTTGGATTTGGAGTTGGTGGAGGTGCACTGCCAAACACTGGATCATAAACAATTTTCTAACTGGCGATTTTTATCTTATCAGGTGCATTTAAAACAACTGCTGCAATTGTAGCCAGAGATATATGTTTAGGACATGAATTTTTGGCCTTGTCTTTGCCGAGCATTTTTTTCTTTATTTATAAAATTCACGTGAAAATTAAACAATTTTTTAAGGAATTTTGTGGTTTTTTGGTAGTATTTTTCTTGTCAGCATTATGAAAGAATAGTCATAGATCTAGAACCTCCTCGTCTGCCCCTTGTGATGCTTTAGGGGGCTTCAGGGGGGCTTCAGCTAGAGTCAAGCCTTTTCCCCTATTCTGTGACAATACCTTGTAGTTATTCACTGGAACTGGGGAGGGGGATGGGGTGTTATGTTGCTGGTATTATTGTACAAAGCGACTGGACATTGATAAACAGCCTTTTTATCCAATGTCCAATAGGATCAATTCAATAGGAGCGTAACGTCCCCGTAACATCAGGAGGCATAAATGTTTTTTCACGATATCTATGACTCTTTATTTTGATAATCACTATGAAAAGGTGTCCTTGGATGCGCAGTAACTATCAAATCATTGTGTCCCAACCCCACCCCTACTCAGAACATACTTGCTACCCCCACTCATTGGCTCCGACACAATGCTGAAAGTGGTGGGGACAAGGGGAAATTTAACATCCATAGCAAAAGATCTTGAAAATAGTTATATTGTTTTGCCAGAAAGTGGGGGCCATGGCCCCCTCGGCCCCTCTTCGTCGGAGGCCCTGCCACTGTCGGGGTAACCTCTCACCGCCGACTAGAAATTTTACCCTTTCAGTCAAAAGTAAAAATCCTTCAACTCAAGATGCAATTACTCTCCTTGCATTCATTGGGGGAATCCAAGATGGACCAGATACGGTTGTGTATGAAGCTAGTGAAAAAACAGAAAGATGTTCCATCAAAAGAATATTGTTTCTTCTGTGGTGATTGTCCCATTACCAATCCATTTAAGGTCATGTTTAACGCTTCACCTATCAGCCTTTTGTTGTCAAACATTGTCAACGCACCTATACTTTCGTCATTAATCAAATTGAATAAATTTTTGTGGTTGCGTGCAATTGAAACAAAGTTCGCATCCGGTAATTCGGGGTGCAGTCGGTGTCGAGGCATCTAGAAGCACGTATCCTCATCGGTCTACTAAATTTAGGTATTGGTAGCCAAATTAAAGGTAAGTTTGTGCTAATTTCTTGATTTTACAACGTTTTGTTTATAATGTTTCCGTCTAGACTGCGGTCAAATACGGAAGTTGCGAAACGAACTCACGTCGTGGCCTAATCGCTTGCAATTATGTGGGCACTTACGTGGAATTCCACGAAATGGGACCTCATTGTCTGTTTAAAACTTTTTTCTCTTTCTTCATTGCTTTGAGATTATGCCGTTTGGGATTTTAATGGTTAAAATGCTGTCCCTTTTGCACTAATCCAAGTCTACTAACAAAACATTCGAACGAAAGGCTACACCCATTTAAAGATTGAAGTCAAAGATTTTTAATCCAGTTTTTTGCTATTCAAATATTCGTTTATGCCACTTATAACTCTCTAACCTACGTTGAGGCCTATCTAAATGGCTTATAAATTTTATATGATATTGTTTTGCAGTAAATTTGTTATTTGAACAGACAGAATAACACGAGGTAGCATTGTTTGCTCAGTATGTTAGGCCCATTTTGTCCTTGTAGTGAATGCTTTAACCTGCCCCGATGAACCTGACTTCCATTCACGTTACTTTAGGGCAGCTCAAATAAAGTAACGATATTTGAAGTTTTATTATCTTCGATTCATTGACATTTAGCCGCCTTTTGTTAGAGAGACAAAACCAATATAACGTCTTTTTATACCGGATTACTGGGCGTTCACTTTCAATTGTTTGCAGGCAATGTCAATGTCTGAAAAACTGGTTTCAGTTTTCATGGCAAGTCGAACTGTACGTTTGCTTACTCAAACTGAACCTTTGTTTACTCAAACTAAAATCACCTGCCATGTTGGAATCTTCTCCTTTGAGTGAACAAATGAAAGTTTGTAAATTGAAATCGTTACTGTGGTGGCAAAATTCAAATTTACTGTGATATTTTGTTCATTTGATTTGCTTCTCTAAAACTTTGAAGCATCAAGTGTCCTTGCATTTCTTCTATGGAAAGGATGGCTTTTTTCATTTTTGCAAGCAAATGACAACAAAATCGTAATTTAACTCGTAGTGTTTGCCAAAAGAGAGCAAATATTTTCAATTCTGTACAAAGTTCTTCGAAGCTTCAGTTCTCAAAGCACCCTCTTGTCCCATATGTCACTATGTCACGCCCAATTGTATGGCCCTTTTGTACAATTTCCATTCAGATACTATATCGTTTTGTTTTCTTTTCAAAGTTCAATGAATGCTGGCAATGAAAAATCTTTAACATTTTAAAATTTGATTAAAGATCTTAAACAACAGGGCCCCTAAAAATCAAACTTGCGTGGCAGCCCTTTAAAAAAAAGAAGGATGATTCATTCGAAAAATACCATTCTCTGTGTAAATAGCAGGACAGAGGGGCACATTTTAAAGTGGGGGCTCTAGAAAAGTGGGGGGGGCTCCGTACGTAGTTTGCCAGATTTTATTCTTTTCCGGTGTCCTTTCTATGGAATTGTCATTGCTAGAAAGCTGTTTTGAATTCACAGATTCCCTTAGCCCATAGTCAAATTGTCCAAATTACGGACAGAGTAGATTTTGTTTACTTGTAACAGGGAAACAAACTCCCAAAGCTGACCTCGACATGCTCTGCAACTACATGAAATCTTATTGTGTACATTTAATCTAAACCCAAATAGTTATTTGAAAAATAGACTTTCGGCTTTTAAAGATTGAGACGTCCTTCAAGACAGAATATGCAATTTTAAATCAATATTTTGGCTAAAATCCAGCGAATATTCTTGATTATTCATTGCTAAAACCTCATGGAATATCGGCTATGCTTGCATCGTTTTCGGATTGTTGACTGAGTCTCTACCATGCAAGTTCATTTACAAATTCACTCTGTTTGTTTTGATGCTCGTGTTGTGGGTTTTTCTGAGAAAGGTATTAAAATGAAAGCGGTTTGTGTAAATCCTTTGGAATGAATAGAAAGGGATTGGTCAACCGTTTATCTCAACTACGTGCATTGCAGGCCATGGAAAGCATAAACCTGTTCCACCGTTTGAGCTTTCGAGTTTACCTAAAAGATTCAGCTGCTCATGTTTGCATTGTTCTTTTGATCGTGACTTGTGGGGTGTAATTCTAAATATTTTGCAAAAGCCATGGGCTAGAACAAAAGGGTGCAATTTTCAGCATAACTATTTACTGTATGACTCTCGTATCTAGTGGCGTCGCTACGGAGTGGACTGGCTCCACCCAAGTTTTCCCAGAGACCGATTTTGGAATTTCTCGCAGTCAGTTGAAAAAATATAGGGGAGGGGGAGGGGGGGATTAATCAGATCGATTTCGATTTTCGCTCTTGCAAAAGCCCCCGTTACGAAATATGCTGCTTGAAAAAGTTGCTTTTCCAAAAATTTCTAAATAGATCAATAAGTATTCAACAGCCATTTCCCACGTATTCCGAGACAATGAAGGGTGTGGTCGAGAAGTTTTTTTTGTCCACCCCACTTTTTTCGGGCTTGTGGCGCCACTGATATAAGAATCTTTACCCAACTTGTTTCGATTTTGTAACCCTGCCTTTGATTTGCTTAGTCTTCGAGACAAGTTTCTTTTTATCTATCTTAACAATATTTTCTTGCCCAAACTGAGTTAGAATAGCTAGCCAGTTAATGTCTATACCTTTTCAATGCGGCGTTTTTTGGTCAGAAAACGAAATTAGGCCCTTTAAGTTCACATCAGTAACAAGATGATACTAAATTGTCTGGTATTTCGATAAAGGCTGCCGACATGGCTCCCCAAGTATGAAATTTCTTGGATTCAAGCAATAAACAGATTTGCCAATCAAGTAGGCTGCCTATTTGATTCGGAAAAAGAACAACGTAGTCCTCAAAACAGGACCCCGCGCCACAAATATTAAAGTGGCCAAGGCTAAAATTTTAGGGGGTCAAGGCTTCTGACCCCTTTTATTGCAGTTTCAAAACTGCTTGCTTCGCCAAAAAATTGGGGGCCATGGCCACCCCGGCTCCCCCAGTGGCGCGGGCCCTGCAAAACTGAGCTTAAGTTATATCTTATTCTGGCAAACATTGAATATATAACAACTAAGAGGAGGTCATTATACAATTTTGGCCTTCAAACGACTGGGGTTAAAAAAGGAAAAGTACAGCCCGGAGTGAAATTTACTTCAGACAAAACACACAGCTTTAAAACCTTTCTTGAGAACACAATTTAAGCATGACGTTGCCTGGGTGTGGAAAGGGCAGACTCCCTGTGCTTTCGTCCCAAAGTTTGTGGTCAAATTATCAGGTTTTGAATGAATGAGAATATCATTTAGCTATGGTGCTGGAGTTAAGGCCCTTCCACCTCTTCCAATAAATCTAACACAAAGTAAAACTATATTCATTTTTGAAATTTTTGAAGGTATAGATACGTCAAATTCCATGTATCTACATATTTGCCCCTCCTGCGATTATATGGTGGATTTTGGTAAAGCTTTTTACCAAATCAATGTAGAAAATGTTCCTCATTATTTCTACGATCCTAACTCAGTTAGACAATTAGAAGATTTAAAGTTGATAAATTAACCACAAGACAAGGGATCAAGGAGAGTTATCTAACTTTGGATATAAAGCAATTTTTATCAAGACAAACTGGTAAATTGTCCACTAAATAATGAACGATAACCATCGTTTAATGCGATTTCATGTTTCATGATACCCTGTTTTTATATGAGATTAAAATCTGAGGTTGTATCTCCATGCATGTGACGTGGTTAGATTGCGATTAGCTCTAAAAATCTGGGTGGTGCGGTTCAGAGTTACGACATGTGTCCATCCTTCGTCTGCGTTGTACTTTAAAGAGATCGAGAAGTGTTTAGGTAGGTTTTAAAGACACCGAGAAGCCGTGCTTATCGAAGAAATGCCCTAGCCTTCCACCACACCTCATGATTCCCACGTCTGGAATTACAGATAGCTAGGTAGCGACTCCTAGTCTGCCCACAGGCCAGCGACTCCCCTCAAAGTTTGATCATGTTAGGGACGTAAACCGCAAACCATTTGATTTGCGGTCCGTTCATCTTTCCTTCTTCAGGCCTATCGACTCTAAAGCTTTTTTGCAATCTACTCCTTTCTGGATATTCCAATTTTACGTGAATCCGCCAAAATATATTAATTGTGGCAAAAATCTATATCATCAAAAGCACGAACAAATTTAGACTGAAAAAACCAAAAATTAGAAAGCAGTAACATATTTTTATTTTTTTGATGCAACGAAATGGCTGGGCCGTGATGACCCCTAACTGAACTACTTCAGCAAGTGCCATTTTCCAAACAACATTAAAGGTTAAGGAGACAGCTTGGTTTAGGCGCGAGGCACTGGAGTGAATATGTTCTGATTGAGTGTTAACGCGGGATAAAATGCTAAGTGGAGTACTTCGGATTTATTTAAACTTTTATGCCAAACTTCTATTCCAGACTTTCACTCCGGTCTTGCAATTAAAGTGCTCCGTGTTTCCTCAGCGCCGCGTTATTGAAAGCCCAAATCCAAAGCAAAAACCAATCTGAAGTGAACCCAACCCGGCGTCGCAACTCAGGCCTAAGATAAAATAGTATAATGGCAAAAAACTAGTTGATAGCTAAAACTTTAATGATCACCAATTTTGATATAACTGCATGGACTCAACATGAACAGGATGGTTCTAAGTTGCTACTCCGAGTATTAGGTTTTATTTTGCCTTTGAAATAACACCGTTTTACGATCTTTTTTTTCTCCAGATGTCTTTTGGTGGTGGTCCAAAGTGCGGCGCTTGTGACAAGACTGTCTACTTCAATGAAAAAGTTGATGCATGCGGCAAAGCATGGCACAAACTTTGCTTCAAATGCTTCGACTGTAGCAAGATGTTGGATAGTGGCTCTGTCTCTGACAAACGTGAAGGAGGTAGGCAGATAGTTGTTAACTCCGCTAATTCCATTTTTGTCTGATTTGTTTACCAGCCAAAATGTTGCAAAGTTTCCAAAATGGCTTAGTGTTTATCACTTTTTTCTTAATCAATAATTCACCATAAAGAACAGGAACCAACCCTTGACTTCGTTTTTAACTCCTTTGACACGATTTTCGACTAAAACAAGGTTGTCTTTATGTCATATTGAGACTACGAAGGTTTCTGACCTCCTCAAACTCGGGCTTTCTACGTTGTTTTGTCCCTGTCTTCTTCGTCTTTTCCCTCAATGATTGGTGGCAAGCAGCAGGCCTCAAAAACCTCAATTAGGCCGTTGGCTAATTTTAGAATTATTAGAAAATCCATTTATTGAAGCAAATTTTCTGTTTTTCTAAAGTATTCTTACAACTGTAATTATTTATGCTTCCAAATTCGCGTTAAGCCCTCGAATGTTGTAACCAAGTAATATTGTACCAAACATCTATTTGTGAAATGTACGGACAATCTATGGTTTACCAGATGTACACGTAGCTTTTGTTTAAAGAGTTTTACCCCTTCAGAAGAGACATTAAATGATTATGAGATAGTTGTTGTTGTCAGGCTAGGCTAAGTTTTTGTGAACGCCCTTTTCTTAAAAAACAATGTATTCAATTATCTAGAGATATAATATCCTGATAATTGGTGTCATTCTCCAGCTTAATCGAATGTCTAACATATTTTAGCTGCCCTAGATCGAAATTTCAACATGCTAACGATGTTGTTGGAAGTAAAGACCTGGATTATATTATACAATTCTAGCAAATTTTCTGTTTTCCTGAAGTATTCATCCAAAAATAGATGATTTGTCTTTTAAAATTTGTGCTCAACGTTAAGTCGTTTTATTCTTCAGACAAAGTATCAATTTACTGCAAGGGATGTTATGGGAAAAAGTTCGGACCGAGTGGCTATGGATTTGGTCAAGGTGCTGGCGTTATGAGAACTGACTTTGGAGGTTCCCAGAAGCCTGTTGCGCAGGGCGGAAGAGGTGGAGGAGCTGCTACCAGTTTTGGTGGAGCTGACAAGTGTCCAAGATGTGGAAAGTCAGTTTATGCAGCTGAGAAGATTATAGGTGCCGGATCAGTAAGTTGCAAAAATGTTTCTTGATTTATCGTCTTATCTCCTTTATCTTAAAGCTAAAAAACTGAATTTTGAAAATTGGGGTTTTCATCATTTTCCAGTCACGTTAAGGGTGTGACATTAAAATCCAATCATTATCTAGCGCCCCCCCCAACCTTGCCGCCTAAATCTGTCCCTTGTTATTGAGATGTCCCTTGTCCCTTGTTGATATTAAAAAGGGTGATTGGTACTATTTGACAAATTGCCTCCCTAATAATCGGGAACTTTTTCGTTTGAAAATTTATTTAAACCTGGAAAGTAATGAGAATGTTTTCTTTCAGTCTTGGCATAAGACTTGTTTCTCATGCAAAGAATGCAACAAAAAACTGGACTCGACTTCAGTAGCTGATAAAGACGGAGAAATTTACTGCAAAGGTACTCAATTTTGTTCATATTTATTTCTAGTGTATTGGTAAAACAATGTTGAACTTGTCAAAATGACTTGCCGTTAACTAGGGCTAAGCACGAGCGTGACATCAACCCCTGCACCCCGTGCACTCCAGGGGGGGGGGCATATGCCTAGGCGGCGCATGAGCGCTGTACATCACATTTTTTCGATTTTTTGCACGCCTGCGATCGGATTTTTTGATACACTAGAGGAAATTTACACGTTTTTGTTGGAAATCTAAAGCGTTGGACAGAGTTGGCACTATCAGCTGCAAAAGCGACGATCTAACCCTATTGAAGTTGACCCCAACAAGATGATCTTCACGGCTAAATTCAGTCTTAGCCGTGAAAAACAGATATACAGACACCGTATCAGATTGAAATCTATTAACCCGAAGGAAAAGGCTGGTACTGCAGGACTGAAGCAGAAAATGGTCCAATTTGAGTTTATTGCGGTGCTGTACTCTGGGAGAAATTTTTATCACTCAGAATTGGTTGAAACCACTGTATTACCTAATATCAAACAATTTGTAGCTTTCTCCTAATTTTAAACTAATTATAGTTATCCATACTTACAAAAATTTCTTGTATTATGCAAACAATTTATATTAAATACTTTGTATTAATACTTTACTTTTATCAGTCTTACAATTAGGCTGTGACGTCACTGGCCTAAAGTTGTCAAATAAAAATATTGTCCAATAAACACCTTCTCCTACGTTTCTCTTCCTTTAAATGACTTTCATTTTCTCTAAATGGTTATTCCATTTTCAGGATGTTATGGAAAGAATTTTGGGCCTAAAGGATTCGGTTACGGCCAAGGAGCCGGAGCACTGACATTGACAAAGTAAAAGACATTTTTCTCACTCTTCCAATCAGTCAACAAAGTTCTGATGGAAAAAAACCAAGTACATTGTTAATCTTTTAACTGACATTCAAGGTGTTATCGGTTATTGTGAACACTTGCTATATTTTGATAAAGGAAATATTTCTAAAACTCAGACTGCCATTTTATTTGACTAATTTTTTTCATATTAAATCGAGAGCCGTTGAATGTTACCCGGCATACGTCGGACTGATCTTTCTACCTTATTCAAGTCTAAAACCGCACACCAGTTAAGCTAAGTCAGACCACTCACTGGCAGCCTTGAAGGTCCAACATAACAAGATTCAACTATGCGATCTACCACCAACTTGAAAAACCTATAAGACATTTTACTGCGAAAAAAGCATTTTATAGCAAAAGAATATGTAGCTTTTTATCAAAAACAAACTCTAAATAAACGGAAACAGCTCCAAATTACTTGAGCCACATTTATTTTTGCTTTATATGGCATAATTAGTCCATTATCATAGTGGTCATTATACACTTTTAATATATCGAATTTTTCATTTCCCTGAAACATACAAAATTTTATTAAAAACAAGCTGTAGATAAATGAAAAGAGCACTAAATGAGAATATAAGCATTAATTATTGCTTTTTATTGCATATTTAGGCTGTTTTGGTAGTGGTCAATTTTCGAAAAAAGTGCAAGGCTATAGCCTTAGAAAAATATCTAATTTTTCATGGCCCTAAAACATGCAAATTTTTATTAAAAACAAGCTGCAGATAAAAGAAAAGAGCAACAAATAAGAATAGAAGCATTAATTATTGCCTTTTATTGCATATATAGACTGTTTTCGTAGTGGTCATTTTTCGAAAAAAGTGCAAGGCTATAACCTTAGAAAAATATCGAATTTTTCATTGCCCTAAAACATGCAAATTTTTATTAAAAACAAGCTGCAGAGAAATGAAAAGAGCACTAAATGAGAATAGAAGCATTAATTATTGCTTTTTATTGCATTTTTAGACTGTTTGGGTAGTGGTCATTTTTCGAAAAAAGTGCAAGGCTATAGCCTTAGAAAAATATCGAATTTTTCATGGCCCCAATACATGCAAATTTTTATTAAAAACAAGCTGCAGATAAACGAAAAGAGCACTAAATGAGAATAGAACCATTAATTATTGCTTTTTCTTTCATATTTAGACTGTTTTGGTAGTGGTCATTTTTCGAAAAAAGTGCAAGGCTATAGCCTTAGAAAAATATCGAGTTTTTCATGGCCCCAAAACATGCAAATTTTTATTAAAAACAAGCTGTAGATAAATGAAAAGAGCACTAAATGAGAATAGAAGCATTAATTATTGCTTTTTATTTCATTTTTAGACTGTTTTGGTAGTGGTCATTTTTCGAAAAAAGTGCAAGGCTATAGCCTTAGAAAAATATCGAATTTTTCATTGCCCTAAAACATGCAAATTTTTATTAAAAACAAGCTGTAGATAAACGAAAAGAGCAATAAATGAGAATAGAAGCATTAATTATTGCTTTTTATTGCATATTTAGACTGATTTGGTAGTGGTCATTTTTCGAAAAAAGTGCAAGGCTATAGCCTTAGAAAAATATCGAATTTTTCATTGCCCTAAAACATGCAAATTTTTATTAAAAACAAGCTGTAGATAAAAGAAAAGAGCAACAAATAAGAAAAGAAGCATTAATTATTGCTTTTTATTGCATATTTAGACTGTTTTGGTAGTGGTCATTTTTCGACAAAAGTGCAAGGCTATAGCCTTAGAAGAATATCGAATTTTTCATAGCCCTGAAACATACAAAATTTTATTAAAAACAAGCTGTAGATAAATCAAAAGAGCACTAAATGAGAATAGAAGCATTAATTATTGCTTTTTCTTTCATATTTAGACTGTTTTGGTAGTGGTCATTTTTCGAAAAAAGTGCAAGGCTATAGCCTTAGAAAAATATCGAGTTTTTCATGGCCCCAAAACATGCAAATTTTTATTAAAAACAAGCTGTAGATAAATGAAAAGAGCACTAAATAAGAATAGAAGCATTAATTATTGCTTTTTATTTCATTTTTAGACTGTTTTGGTAGTGGTCATTTTTCGAAAAAAGTGCAAGGCTATAGCCTTAGAAAAATATCGAATTTTTCATTGCCCTAAAACATGCAAATTTTTATTAAAAACAAGCTGTAGATAAACGAAAAGAGCAATAAATAAGAATAGAAGCATTAATTATTGCTTTTTATTGCATATTTAGACTGATTTGGTAGTGGTCATTTTTCGAAAAAAGTGCAAGGCTATAGCCTTAGAAAAATATCGAATTTTTCATTGCCCTAAAACATGCAAATTTTTATTAAAAACAAGCTGTAGATAAAAGAAAAGAGCAATAAATAAGAATAGAAGCATTAATTATTGTTTTTTATTTCATTTTTAGACTGTTTTGGTAGTGGTCATTTTTCGAAAAAAGTGCAAGGCTATAGCCTTAGAAAAATATCGAATTTTTCATGGCCCCAATACATGCAAATTTTTATTAAAAACAAGCTGCAGAGAAATGAAAAGAGCAATAATTGAGAATAGAAGCATTAATTATTGCTTTTTATTGCATTTTTAGACTGTTTTGGTAGTGGTCATTTTTCGAAAAAAGTGCAAGGCTATAACCTTAGAAAAATATCGAATTTTTCATGGCCCCAATACATGCAAAATTTTATTAAAAACAAGCTGCAGCTAAACGAAAAGAGCACTAAATGAGAATAGAACCATTAATTATTGCTTTTTCTTTCATATTTAGACTGTTTTGGTAGTGGTCATTTTTCGAAAAAAGTGCAAGGCTATAGCCTTAGAAAAATATCGAGTTTTTCATGGCCCCAAAACATGCAAATTTTTATTAAAAATAAGCTGTAGATAAACGAAAAGAGCACTAAATGAGAATAGAAGCATTAATTATTGCTTTTTATTGCATATTGAGACTGTTTTGGTAGTGGTCATTTTTCGAAAAAAGTGCAAGGCTATAGCTTTGTGGAAAATATCGAATTTTTCATGGCCCTAAAACATGCAAACTTTTATTAAAAACAAGCTGCAGATAAACGAAAAGAGCAATAAATGAGAATAAAGGCATTAATTATTGCTTTTTATTGCATATTTAGACTGTTTTGGTAGTGGTCATTTTTCGAAAAAAGTGCAAGCCTATAGCCTTAGAAAAATATCGAGTTTTTCATGGCCCCAAAACATGCAAATTTTTATTAAAAACAAGCTATAGATAAATGAAAACAGCAATAAATGAGAATAGAAGCATTAATTATTGCTTTTTATTGCATATTTAGACTGTTTTGTTAGTGGTCATTTTTCGAAAAAAGTGCAAGGCTATAGCTTTGGGGAAAATATCGAATTTTTCATGGCCCTAAAACATGCAAACTTTTATTAAAAACAAGCTGCAGATAAACGAAAAGAGCACTAAATGAGAATAGAAGCATTAATTATTGCTTTTTATTGCATATTTAGACTGTTTTGGTAGTGGTCATTTTTCGAAAAAAGTGCAAGGCTATAGCCTTAGGAAAATTTCGAATTTTTCATGGCCCTAAAACATGCAAATTTTTATTAAAAATAAGCTGTAGATAAACGAAAAGAGCACTAAATGAGAATAGAAGCATTAATTATTGCTTTTTATTGCATATTTAGACTGTTTTGGTAGTGGTCATTTTTCGAAAAAAGTGCAAGGCTATAGCCTTAGAAAAATATCGAGTTTTTCATGGCCCCAAAACATGCAAATTTTTATTAAAAATAAGCTGTAGATAAACGAAAAGAGCACTAAATGAGAATAGAAGCATTAATTATTGCTTTTTATTGCATATTTAGACTGTTTTGGTAGTGGTCATTTTTCGAAAAAAGTGCAAGGCTATAGCCTTAGAAAAATATCGAGTTTTTCATGGCCCCAAAACATGCAAATTTTTATTAAAAACAAGCTGTAGATAAACGAAAAGAGCAATAAATGAGAATAGAAGCATTAATTATTGCTTTTTATTGCATATTTAGACTGTTTTGTTAGTGGTAATTTTTCGAAAAAAGTGCAAGGCTATAGCCTTAGGAAAATATCGAATTTTTCATGGCCCTAAAACATGCAAATTTTTATTAAAAATAAGCTGTAGATAAACGAAAAGAGCACTAAATGAGAATAGAAGCATTAATTATTGCTTTTTATTGCATATTTAGACTGTTTTGGTAGTGGTCATTTTTCGAAAAAAGTGCAAGGCTATAGCCTTAGAAAAATATCGAATTTTTAATGGCCCTAAAACATGCAAATTTTTATTAAAAACAAGCTGTAGATAAATGAAAAGAGCACTAAATGAGAATAGAAGCATTAATTATTGCTTTTTATTGCATATTTAGACTGTTTTGGTAGTGGTCATTTTTCGAAAAAAAGTGCAAGGCTATAGCCTTAGAAAAACATGGTATTTTTCATGGCCCTAAAACATGCAAATTTTTATTAAAAACAAGCTGTAGATAAATGAAAAGAGCAATAAATGAGAAAAGAAGCATTAATTATTGCTTTTTATTGCATATTTAGACTGTTTTGGTAGTGGTCATTTTCCAAAAAAAGTGTAAGGCTATAACCTTAGAAAAATATCGAATTTTTCATTGCCCTAAAACATGCAAATTTTTATTAAAAACAAGCTGCAGATAAATGAAAAGAGCACTAAATGAGAATAGAAGCATTAATTATTGCTTTTTATTGCATATTTAGACTGTTTTGGTAGTGGTCATTTTTCGAAAAAAGTGCAAGGCTATAGCCTTAGAAAAATATCGAATTTTTCATTGTCCTGAAACATGCAAAATTTTATTAAAAACAAGCTGTAGATAAACGAAAAGAGCACTAAATGAGAATAGAAGCATTAATTATTGCTTTTTATTGCATATTTAGACTGTTTTGGTAGTGGTCATTTTTCGAAAAAAGTGTAAGGCTATAACCTTAGAAAAATATCGAATTTTTCATTGCCCTAAAACATGCAAATTTTTATTAAAAACAAGCTGCAGATAAACGAAAAGAGCACTAAATGAGAATAGAAGCATTAATTATTGCTTTTTATTGCATATTTAGACTGTTTTGGTAGTGGTCATTTTTCGAAAAAAGTGCAAGGCTATAGCCTTAGGAAAATATCGAATTTTTCATTGCCCTGAAACATGCAAAATTTTATTAAAAACAAGCTGCATATAAAAGAAAAGAGCACTAAATGAGAATAGAAGCATTAATTATTGCTTTTTATTGCATATTTAGACTGTTTTGGTAGTGGTCATTTTTCGAAAAAAGTGCAAGGCTATAGCCTTAGGAAAATATCGAATTTTTCATTGCCCTGAAACATGCAAAATTTTATTAAAAACAAGCTGCAGATAGAAGAAAAGAGCAATAAATGAGAAATAAGCATTCTTGCTACTCATGAGTCGCAATGTAATTTGAAGGGCCTTTATCTCTTGTCTGGCTTTCGAATTTTGGCATCCAATTCGTCACCATTCCTCTAAAGTTCCTCTTGCTCTAGAGCTTCTTTCATATATTCATTCATTGATTTATTCATTGATTCATCCATTCATTGATTCATCGTTTCATTCCTTGATTCATTTATTTTCTCGTGAAGGATATATTTATTCGAGCGAGCTCGAAGTTGGGGCATGACATGAGGCTGAAAATAAGAAAATTAAAATAAAAACTTGACCATACACCAGGAGAAGGGTTAAAGAAGATTTATTGAATTGATTGTTTATTCTTGAATCGATGTTAATGTGATGGACTTACGAACAGCAAGAAGACATATATTAAACAAAACACCTGGATAAAAATGCTGTAGCAATTTGAACTGAGTGATGACAGAAATGATTGATTTTATTTCACTAAATGATTGACAGCTGTCTTTTGTGATTTGCAAACACAAATTACACAAACTTTTCAGAAGCAGAATAAACAGGACTGTTGGCGAGACATTGGGAACAAAACTCAAGGATCTCTGCATCTGGATACGGCCCAAAAACAAAATGGCGGACACACTTTCAGCAGTTGATTATGTTGTCTTTGCGCTGATGCTACTCTTTTCAAGTGTAATCGGCATCTACTACGGCTATAAAGGCAAGCAAACGACCACGAAGGAATACCTCACGGCAAGCGGAAGTATGCACTGGATGCCGATTTCTATATCTTTACTAGCATCGTTCTTATCTGCAATCGCATTGATGGGCATTCCATCTGAAATATACACTTACGGTATCCAGTACCTAATTACCTATCTCTCCTTCGTCGCCATGTTGTTGCTGTCTGCAATGATCTATGCACCGATATTTTACCAGACCAAAGTTACAAGTGCTAACGAGGTACGTAAAGTAAACACAAGCATTTTTCTAGCTTGCTCGTATTACAAGTTGTAAATCACAGAAGGCGATAGGGAGTTTAGCCCCATTTTCAAACTCTTTTTTCTAAGAGCAAGTTTATAAGAACACAAATTTAAATGTTGGCAAAAAA